AAATTTCTTCCACTTTCACGATTTGGGCAGGCAAGAAAAAACAAAAAAAGCAGCATCTTCTTCTAATAAATAGGTAATTACTATTTTAATTCCCTTTTCCATCATCTCCGATGGAGCCAAAATTTCACCTGTTTTTGGCTTTGGGGTGTGATGGAATAAATCAAAATGGATATCTAAACTATTTGCGCTTCTTTAATTAATGAAGTAGCAGTTAGTCAAGCAATGCAACTTTCGACGTTGAGCCGGGGGTCTCTTTGGAAACAGCCTCTCTACTTTCGAGTAGGGGCAAGGTCTGCGTACACACACCCTCCCCAGACCCTACTCTTGTGGGATTTAACTGGGTTGTTGTTGTTGTTGTTGTACTATTTTAATTCCCGTAGAGAAAAGATTTATCGATCGATCAACAACGGGCTTCCACCGCAGACAATGTCATAGAAGAAGCGTGGGACCCACAACCGCCCATTGTCCCATTTTTTTTCCTTTTTTTGCCACTATCACTGGCCTTGAGAACAAAGCCTTATATATGGAGGGCGCATGCAGGTCAGATATATGTATATTTATACTCACTCCATATTCCAATAAAAAGTTTCATCTTTGGCTAATCTTGAAATTGATGTTGATATAAGCATCACATTTTTTTCTAAAGGTGAAAAGTGAATTTTTTTTACACAAACATTAAAAGAAAATATGAAATCTTTTTCAGGGAACCTACTGTTTGTGCAGCACCGATAGTTACGCAAAGTATGCTGTCATGTTACCATGGCTTTATTCTTATTCCATTTGGTTAAAGTCTAAAGGGTTGCTTGTTCCTATGTTGCTAATTCTATACTATACCCATTATTACCAGAGTAAATTAGAAGGATTCTTCTTCTTTTTTTTCTTTCTTTTTTTTCTTTTTAATTGAAAAGACATCAGAAAGATGCTAAAATTAAGACTTTTTTGCCTAATGAACAGTTAAGGCGCATCACCTAACGAGGCACAATGAGTACTAAAGAATTTCCCCATTTATAGTTCACATTAGGAGACTCTAAGTTAAAGTAGTGTGTTTTTGTCATGAGTCAAGGTTCATCATAGACATAATATTCTCACTACATAAACAAATTTCTCAGTAATAAATAATTAAAATTTATTCATCACTTGTATGAGAGGATTTATTTAATTACACATAAATTATGCCCAAATTGGATTGTTTTCCAATCTAAAGACAGATGGACTAATGAATTCCATGTGGAAGAAAAGAATCTATGATTGTGACCTATGGCATGCCATATTTACAAAAACTTGCATTGATGATTCATACTATAATTTACTACTTGAATTTGTTATTATTACTACCTAAAAAGAATAAGACTACTAATCTAATTGTATCCATTTTCAAATGTTAATGCTCCATTTTCAAGGTCAACATGGTGTTTCCTCAAATGTGAAAGAATCAACCTAAGTGGGGAGTAGTTGTTTCTAACTTAGTGGCTGACAATGGCCCGAATTTCCCTGAAAATGTCATTACTCATTAGGTAATTTGCTTATAAGAAGAAGGCTTGGCATTTCATCCATCCCATGCATTCATTCCATGTGGAGAATTTGCTGCAGCAAACTTTGATTCAAGTTAGAAACATCATCTACCATCGTCTTTTTTTAAATTAAAAAAAAGATAGATTCTTTGCTGTTTGAGAACAGATATAGTAAATGTTGATCCTGTTGATCCGTTACAGGTGATTGAATCAAGCAGTTGGGACATATAATGGACATAAGAAGTTCGTCCTCTTGTCGACAAGAAAACCTGCCGCCATACATTCACAAGGTGGGGGCCCCACCAAAAGAGAACCTATTCAAGGAGTTCAAGAACAGGGTGAAGGAAACAATGTTTGCAGACGATCCTTTTCGGTCGTTTAAGGATCAAACCATGTCTAGGAAGTTTGTCCTGGGGTTGCAGGCCGTGTTCCCCATTCTTGATTGGGGAAGAAGCTATAGCCTTGCTAAATTCAGAGGAGACCTTATTGCGGGTCTAACCATTGCTAGCCTGTGCATTCCTCAGGTATGTCATATGCACTAATTGCTTGCTTGGTTCTATATATGAACACTTTATATTGTAATGATCAATTTTTAATATTTTTTTTTATTTTTTTTATTTTGAAGTTATGCTTTTTGTGAATTCTTTACATTTGGTTTAACAGGACATTGGCTACTCGAAGCTAGCAAACTTAGACCCTCAGTATGGATTATGTATGTGTTTTTTTTGTTTCTGTTTGCTTCTGTCGATTTTACCGAGTTTTGACACCAAGCATGGCTCTCAATGTTGTGTGTCAGAGACTGGTGTCAAAGTTGGTGTGGTTCAATTATCAAAATGTTGACAACGTGATAGCTACAATTGGGTTTTGTCAGACTCCAGCTTTGTTCCCCCATTGATTTATGCATTCATGGGAAGCTCAAGACACATAGTCATAGGACCGGTGGCTGTTGTGTCGCTCTTGCTGGGAACTATGCTTCGGAGTGAAATTGATCCGACTAAAAATGCAAGTGATTACAGGAGGCTTGCATTTACGGCAACCTTTTTCGCTGGTGTCACGCAAGCTGCCTTGGGGATTCTCAGGTGAATAAAACATGAACATAACAGACATAATGTTCTTTTTCTCAACAGAGCATTATGACAATGTAGACATGATCTATGTTCATATTCTTTCACCTTTTGATGTATCACATTCTTGATATATATATCTCGTTGCCAGATTGGGGTTTTTGATAGACTTATTGTCTCATGCTGCGGTGGTTGGTTTTATGGGCGGTGCAGCCATTACAATAGCCCTCCAGCAGCTCAAGGGTTTTCTTGGTATAAAAAAGTTTACTAGGAAAACAGATATCGTCTCAGTGATGAAGTCTGTATGGGGCTCAGCTCATTATGGAGTATGCTTTTTAACCCCTCTTTTTCTTTTACAGCCAAATATTTTATCAAATATATCGAATAATTACTGGTATTCATATTATATTTCCACGACAAACTTGCAGTGGAATTGGGAGACCATCCTCAATGGGACATCCTTTTTGGCTTTCCTCATACTGGCAAAGTGCATTGTAAGTAACTATTTCTATTTGTTTATGTGGTCGAAACATTCTGTCCTTTTTAATGAGATTTTAAAAAAACTATGTACCAGGGGAAGAAGAACAAGAAATTCTTTTGGGTGCCTGCAGTTGCTCCATTAATATCAGTCATTCTATCAACATTTTTTGTTTATATCACACATGCAGAAAAGAAAGGAGTTGAGATTGTAAGTGGCTATGCTTTATTTTTGTCATCGGCTTTAATTAATTACTCCCTCCGTCCTATATCTTTCTTCCCGTTGCGCAAAACGAAGAAAAATCTCAAGTTTTTTCAATCTATTTTATTTAAATATTGGTATAGAAATAAAAAATAAAACATACATATTTAAAAACTACATCAAAAGTTCAACAAAACAAGTGGTGACAAGAATATTTTATTTTATCATATAGGCCATGAAAAAACACAAATAAATATAAATTCCCGTGAAGTTGGAATAGTGCTCTGGGAAGAAAGTTTTAGGACGGAGGGAGTATAATTTTACTGTTTCCACCAGGTTAGACACATTGAGAAAGGAATCAATCCCCCATCTGCAAATGAAATTTATTTTTCTGGAGATTATGTCTTGAAAGGATTGAAGATTGGCATNTATGCTTTATTTTTGTCATCGGCTTTAATTAATTACTCCCTCCGTCCTATATCTTTCTTCCCGTTGCGCAAAACGAAGAAAAATCTCAAGTTTTTTCAATCTATTTTATTTAAATATTGGTATAGAAATAAAAAATAAAACATACATATTTAAAAACTACATCAAAAGTTCAACAAAACAAGTGGTGACAAGAATATTTTATTTTATCATATAGGCCATGAAAAAACACAAATAAATATAAATTCCCGTGAAGTTGGAATAGTGCTCTGGGAAGAAAGTTTTAGGACGGAGGGAGTATAATTTTACTGTTTCCACCAGGTTAGACACATTGAGAAAGGAATCAATCCCCCATCTGCAAATGAAATTTATTTTTCTGGAGATTATGTCTTGAAAGGATTGAAGATTGGCATTGTAGCGGGCATGATTGCATTAACAGTAAGTTAAAAGTTCTCATTTAAGTGAAATACTTTAACCTGAACTTAGGCCTTGTTCTTGGAGTCTGCTAACTAGAGTCCTGGTAATTGGAACCTAGGTCAAATACACTACGAGTATAAAGTAAAATAGATTTAAACTGGAATCTGGAATCCTGAAAGATAATGTTGAAAAGAACATGCCTTTGCTATATTTTGTGTCTGGATTTCTTTCAATGATGGCTTTCAGGAAGCTGTGGCAATTGGGAGAACATTTGCTTCCATGAAGGAGTATCAATTGGATGGAAACAGGGAAATGGTGGCACTTGGAGTGATGAACATCGTTGGTTCAATGACCTCCTGCTATGTCGCAACAGGTAGCACATATAACATGAAATTTCAAGTACAAACTTTGTAAAAACACTTCAAACATAGAACAAGTATGTATAACTCACGTAAAAAGCATCCACATTGACGCATTGAACATAATATGTGTGAAGTCTGATACATATTAGACACAAACATACATTCCTTACCAAAAAGGGCTGACTAATGTATGCGTCTTGTTGCAGGTTCCTTTTCTCGATCAGCAGTGAACTTCATGGCAGGCTGCAACACGGCAGTTTCAAACATTGTCATGTCCTTAGTTGTATTCCTAACTTTGGAGTTCATAACCCCTCTCTTTGAGTACACGCCAAATGCAATCCTTGCTTCCATCATCATCTCCGCTGTCATTGGTCTGATTGACTATGACGCGGCAGTACTGATTTGGAAAATAGATAAATTTGATTTCATTGCATGTATGGGGGCATTCCTGGGTGTGGTTTTTGTCTCTGTTGAGATTGGTCTTTTGGTCGCGGTAAGGACCACTGTAATCTCCTCAACAAATTTATGTCTCTTTTAGTTAGTTGACTGACGATGATGATGATGCTTCAAATTCTCATATTAGGTCGCAATATCATTTGCTAAGATTCTGCTGCAAGTGACAAGGCCAAGGACAGCAATTCTTGGAAGGGTTCCTAGGACAAATGCATACAGGAATATCCAGCAATACCCTGAAGCAACTAAAGTTCCAGGTGTATTGATCGTGAGAGTTGACTCTGCCATTTATTTTTCAAACTCCAACTATACAAGGGAGAGGTAATTGTTCGGAGTTCCACATCAAAAACCTAAAGAACATATGGATTTATAAGAGCTTGATTTTGGATAGCTGATTGATGGGCATGTCTTATTAAGCATGATTTTATCGACTCTTAAAAATAACATGTGGCAGAATACTGAGATAGCTGATGGATGAGGAAGAGCACCTGAAAGCAGCTGACCTCCCTAGAATTGAGTTTTTAATAGTTGAGATGTCGCGTAAGTGGATGGGAAGAAGTGATGAATGTCTACTAGTTGAAACTCTTCCTACAAAGAGGGGACACTCTTATCGTCGTTTACATTGCTTTTTGTTTTGTTTTGTTGCAGCGGTCACTGACATCGACACTAGTGGCATTCACGCCTTAGAAGAGCTGCTCAGTAGCCTGCAGAAAAGAGATGTTAAGGTAACATACATTAGTTTCTAAAAATAGAAAAAAAACTATGAAATCCAGATTGTGATTCTCTTTTGCAACAACTTACACAAATACTGCATTTTAAACCGACAGCTGGTTCTGGCAAACTCGGGAAGTGTGGTGATGGACAAACTGCATGCATCTGGATTTCTCACCATCATCGGCGAAGACAAGATCTTCCTGACAGTGGCTGATGCCGTTCTGACATGTTCCCCAAAACTTCCTGATGTCTAAGGCACAGTCTCTACTTCATGGGGTAGTGATCTTCAAGAATGTGACTGCTAGGATGGCATGAAAACACTGAACTTGATCCTGTGTGTGAATAGTTTAATAAAAACATTGTTTTGAAGTGTTCTGCGTGCTTGGGGGGATGGGGGGTGGGTAGCCACATTTAATATGTAACATGCTTTGTAGTGATGTGAAAGCATTGAACTTAATAAAAAAGTCGTTTTGAAATGTTACAAGTGCTCAGATGTTGCTGCTATATTCCTGGGGAGCATTTTCTTTTTCAGTTTTATTATAACAGCTCCCAAACAGACTCAACCATAAACAAAAACAAAGGGAAAACAAAGATAAATCCCTTTTCTGATCATAAAGAGAGTCATTTGTTTGGGGTATAAATGGGCAGTCAACAACCGAAAGAAATAAGAAAACTATTTCCCTATACAGAATTTGCCAAATATGTTGGCCAATATCTCTTCAGAAAAATCGTCTCCATTAATCTGCCCAAGGGCCATAGCAGCTTCTCTTAGATCAATCGTCCATAGATCAAGGGGAAGCTCCTCCCCCATTGAAGATTTGAGCCTGGCGAGTGCATCTTTGGCTCGAATCAGCTGCTCCCACTGTCTCTGCTTTCCAAAACAAACCGAATGTTTGAAATTAATATCCATTATAAGACATATTTGTTGGTTTTGTATTTTTATTTATTTATTTATATTATTATCATTGATATGTGATGAATTAACAAACCAAACCTGATTGACTGTCCATTTACGACCCCCGGAAGGGATTTTGTCTTGGCCAACAATCTCCGCAATTGCTGCCTCCAGATCTTGAATTCCTTGACCGGTGAGCGCACAGGTAAAGATCATCTTGTTGAAGGGGAAGCCACCAAATGCATCAACCAAATCAGGAGGCCGTGCACAGTCTATTTTGTTGACTACCAGAATCATTGGAGAACTAGACCCACAAGATGCCTGTAAGTTTTAAGGAGGGATACCAATTATTCACTTCATTCTATCAAGCATGAAGTCTGTTATTACATGAAAACAATTGTGTGGATAAACCTTGTTGCTTTGAATTGTCTCAAGAAGTGTGGCGTCCTCTGTAGTCCAACCTTCTGTAGCACTAACTGCCATTACAATTACATCAGCACTTCCAGCAGCCTTTTCGGATCGCTCCACACCTATGAATGAATATGTCAAGAAGAAATCAAGGACAATATATACATATAGTTAATGCAGTCTGTGCGGCGGCGGATCCACTTCTGTGCAGTCCGGGGAAGGCAACAACAATAATTCAACAGAATCCCACAAAAGTTAATGCAGGGTGTACTCTGGGCAGTTGCGGATCCAGCTTTGTGCAGTCTGGTGAAGGCAACAACAAAAATGACAACAAACCTAGTAGATTCCCACAAAAGTAGGATCTGGGAGGGTGTCGTATGCAGACCTTATCCCTACTACGAAGTAGAAAGACTCTTTCCAAGAGACCCCCAACTCAGATACAAAAATACGAACAAAGAAACCATTGGAGCCTATAGGTATCCAACTACTCCAATTCCAGACATCCAGGTACTTCTATCTAAGTCCAAGGAAGGCATTTTCAGTATAACTGGTTCCTTAAAGTAAAAAATTGTCTTCATTATGGGCATGGTTCCTATGTCGGGATGATTTTCTGCCCTCAATTATAGCGAGGTCCACCAAATCTAGTTTTAAAAATATTTGATGTACAACAAAAAAGTAACTTTAAATGAAATTGACTTGATATAACAAAGATTACATGATATGCTGCAGAAATGGAAAAAAAAGAAAAGAAAAAGGACATACCCATCTTCTCCACTGGATCATTTGTTTGCCTTATACCGGCTGTATCAAGAAGGATAGCAGGGATGCCACAGACAGAAATATTAGCTTCTATCACATCCCTTGTGGTTCCCGCGATATCTGTAACAATTGCTCTCTCACTCTGCATGCTTAAAAGGCCAAATAGGTCACACATTTAGATGTTAGGAGTTAGTACCACCACCAATGACACTCTAAGCACCGATTCACCTATTGAATCCTTTTATCTCAAATTAATTTTCTTAAAAAAATCTTATAATCCAAAGAAAGCTAGTGAACTCAAGATTGTAGTTGGACAGCCATAAAATTGAACTACAACAAAAAAATAAAAGTTTCATAGGGTGTGATGCACAAGTTCATCTTAATATATATTCAACAATAATATACTCAAGTCACACAAATGTGGAATTCAATTAAAAAAGAAACATACTGTGCTCCATGCATTAAGTAGACTTGATTTCCCGACATTTGGTCTACCAACAATTGCTATCTGTGACAAGTATGAAAAGTCAATCAAATCAAAAGCATATAAAAGCAAACGAGGAAGAGATGTAAGCACAAATATGAGCTTTCGTAGATCTTTTAGAGGAATTTTATTAAGTTTGAAAAAATTTATGGAGCAGTAATGTTTTTATCCAGTGCTAGCGTACTAGTCTTCTACAACTACACTTCTTTGGCATAATATTTTTCAGAGGGCAATTCAGCTTGAACCATATCCATTTAAACATGTTTTAATGAAGACTAGTACAGGTTCTGAAAAAATTACTTAACAGGTAAAGGTGTTTCCATACACAAGTTTACATAATTTCATCAAACAACCACATCTTTTGCATGAATTCAAAAAACTTCATTAAAATAAAGTGGTGTCGAGATTGTAGAAGGAATGGTCTTCAAGGAGAATGTGTAGTAGGGAAATAGCTAGTTTTAGTATTAAACACGAGTAAACCTGTATTCCAGACTGCAGAAGTTTGTCATAGTTAGCAGTTTCCAGTGCACTATCAATATCTCTCACCATCCCATATATTTTCTCCATCATTACGTTCAAGTTAAGAGGTGGCATCTCATCATCAAAGTCTAAACGGGCTTCAATTTCAGCAAGCAATTCAATGCATTGCATCCTTATAGATTTGACCAAAGAAGAGAAGCCTCCCTGTGCAACAGAAATAGTCAGTAAGAGAGGCATGAAATAAAAACTGATACAGAGTACGAAATAAATGAAGTACAGTAAACACAATCTAACACTCATATCAGAACCTGTATTCCTGCTAATGCAGAATCAGCAACAGCCGTTGACTTAGCTGATACAAGCTTTCCCACATTCTCAGCTTGAGAAAGGTCTAAACGCCCATTCAAGAATGCACGAAGAGTGAACTCACCTGAAATGAATGAATACAATTAATTTACAACTTGCATTGGCCCCATAAAAGAGTCCTGTTTATAAAGTTATTTGTCCCAACAAAGAGTCCAAATAGATAAAAGCTCATTTGCATTATATTTAATATTTACAACAATACCCAATATAATCCCAACTTCGATGGGGTTTGGGGGTCAAGATGAACGCAATCTTACGCCATAAAATTCCGAGAGACTGTTTCCTTCAGACCATTGATGCAATGCGACATTAACTACCAAGAACTACTTTAGCTCCATTGACATTTCTTGGAACCATCGAAACCATTATCTTTAATAAAGGAATTAATGTTTTTATAATAGAAATGTGCTACAAATAAATTGATCTTGTTAATATTAGTTAAACAGACAATTAAGGACTCTTATGTGATAGCATTACAGAGGGAGCAATTAATAATACCTTATTTTCTTAGAGTATGTACTCTTGCATATATATAAGCACTCTAGAGTTGCAGAATAATTTCAAGAATCACATATTAACTCTATTAAGAAGTTTCATGGCTAGTCACAAATTTGATTTATAAAATGAAAGGATGAAGTAAGAGACTAACCTGGCTCAGCAAGTCTAGCCCCGGCCTCAAGACAAGCCCTCAACACACGGTTCAAGCATACTTCACTCCCATGACACTGAAGCTCTATCACATCTTCTCGAGTGTATGATTTTGGAGCTAGCATGGGAACCATCAAAACCTTTATTTTTAAGTAAAAACAAGAATCGTGAATGATAAACCAAACATAGATTTACTGTCTTGAATGCGGAACATGAATGTCCACTACTGACTACTGGAAATTCACAAATCATTTTTCGATTTTTTAAACACTAGCTGCCGCTATAAATGAATGAAAACAAAGACTTCACATTTAAATCCATGGCCTTTCTGAAAATATAATCTATTGCATATTTAAATGATTGAATACTATTTTTAGAGCAAAGTTGCAAAGAAAATAAACAAAACTCACTAAAATGCCTCAAAAGTTACTTTCTTGGCAACTTATATCCAATAAAAAGGTAAATAATCCAGCACAAGAAAACATGTACCTCATCAATCACATTTCCACAAGAATCAGAAACTAAACCATACTCCACAACATGGCTTTTAGGCCTCCACACAGAGGTACACTCCTTGAACTTCTTCTTTTTCATGGAACGAAAAAGACGGCTAACAATAGAAATAGCAGAAGGCCCTGAAAGCCGGACAATCCCAACGGAAGCCGGCGGACCACCCAAGGAGGTGACAATAGCTGCAATGGTGCTTGAATTGGCAATGGTGTGGTCAGAAGGGTTCAGCTTTCCAGACACCCACGCCCTCTCATCTTTCTTCATCACCATAATGTGATCATTAGTATTCTCTGCATTTAACAAAAATCAAAACTTCAGGAACATAACAAATATATGAAAGAATGGGTTACATTCTTGAATAAGAAAAAAATTGGCATTACCTTCTGATGTGGCATGGAGCTTGGGAATGGAAGAAAATAAAAAAGAGAGATTTGGGGGTAGTCGGATTGAGAGTTTTCTAGAGAGGCTTGAGGGTAGCAAAGGGAGGCGATGCAAGTGAGTGAATAGTGAAACACGGAATGGTTGAAGCATAACCATTGTTGTTGTTCTCTTGCTGGCTTTAAATATTTAAACGATTCTGCTATAAGAAGCTGGCGCCAAAATATCCAGGTCACTGAAACAAGTAAGCTATCCTACCGGATGTAATTTGGACAGATAATATCTTTTCAGCCAAGCCCTAACCAACGTTTTTCAAATTAAAAAAAAACAGTTAATACACTTAATTCTTGGATTCCAAAGACTTGTCTGTCTACAACATTAAGTAACCCATTACGATTTCTGTGGGAAAAAAAACACAATTTTCAACAATCAACTAAAAATAATCTTAACAAACCCCAAACTAAAAATCATGTAATCTTAGTTTACAAGTATTGCACAAAATAACATATAGAAGTTCGATGCCTCTACTGTGTGAAATCCATGAAACTACAACTGAAAGAAGTAAATTAAGAAAAGAGCTCCCCAGTCCGAGATTATTCTAATGCAAAAATCCAGAACAGTGCTTTACCACTGCTAAGAGTGGTAGAGAATTGATCGGTATTCCTCCTGGATTTGCTGTACCATTCTACTAGTCCAATATGCATAACGAAATCAATCAACTAAATTGAACTACAAAGCCATAAATTTTAATTAAGTAAATATGACCTAGCATTACATGTAAATTAAACCAAATCACACGAACAATCTCTTGACTATTCAGATGCTAATGTAAACCGGGGAAAAAACTTACTCCATTATCCATTGCCTGAGCAGTCAAATGATCCACAAGAACACAAGAAGCCAAAATAAAATTAGAACAGAGAATAATACATAGAGAGTTTCCTTTCCCTTCCTTTATGTTTGGTTCCGGTTGGACAGTGACCCGGACCACGGATGTGGTAATGTGAACTAGGGTTTTATGTGCACTAGAACGTTGCTCCAGCGTTGTCCGCACACATCATACCAATTTGTTCAGAGTGATCTTTGAATTCGGTTTCTTTCAATTTGGTTCAAGTCAGCGACCGCCCATCAAGTCTTCCGCCGCCGCATCCTCTGTCCTCGGGTAGATAGTCGCCGATTTTTGGTAATTGACTCTTTGAAGCCGCCACGTCAGTTCCAAGTCTTCCGCCGCTGCCAAATGCCAATTGGTTTGTTTTGCTTTATTGGTAGTTGGTACTCCAATAAGTTTTTTGATGTCAATTTATATTACTACCTCCGTCCCGTGAAACATGGGACATTTGTTTTTTAGGAGGAATTTAAGGGAGTGTATTTTGGTATTGAATTTCCAAAAATGTCCTTTGATGTGATGGGTAAAAGTATGATTTGATGGATAGATTATTAGTAAAAAGGTATGATGTGATAGTTAGGGTATGAAAAAGTAAGGGGTAAAAGTGACTTTTTAATAGAAATGAGAAGTGTTTTGTGGGACGGATAAAAAAAGAAAGGGAAATGTTTCACGGGACGGAGGTAGTATATGTTTCCTTATTTTATTTAAGTTATTTTCGAATTCTATAAAACGAATAGTGACTTGACTATTATTTTAACAAATAACTAATGAAAATATAAAAAAAATAATAAATTTAACCATGTAAATAGTAAACAAACCATTTAATTTGAGGCAAAGTAAGTACTAATTTAGTATGTTTGGTCGTAGCTACTTGTATGTTCAACATGTCAATTTGTGAGATTAGTCGCACCTCTGACACCTAACAATCTGTATGTTTGTTAGTCGTCCTTCACGAGAGTTATTCGACATTCATTTTGTCGCGTCACTTTCATTAATTATTATTGCAGCAAATCAAATTTAATGAAAATTATTTATTCTTGTTAAAGTTTAAGTTGTTTTCTAGTTCTAGTTTTTTTATTATCCAAATTTAATATTTGTGTTCCATATGCCATTGTTAGCGAATGGAATAAGAATTCATTAATGAGCTGAGATAATAGACTCGTAATAATGATTTTTTAGTTATTATAAATAACAAGTTTATAATTAATGAAATCAAATTGTTGCAACATAAATAATTCAATATAGTTGATGAGTTATCAAATTGACTATAAATAAAGTATAAGTGAATGATATGTATTCAGATTTACAAAATATTTAGTTTTGTGTTATATTCCAAAATTGGGTACAAACCATTAAATCACACATGTATATAGGGTTTACATGTGAAGTTGTTAAATTTGTTCTCAACGGGGTATTGGCGGCATTGCAATTAGATTACGAGCGAATAGAGTGTTCATCACGTGTTGGATAAAATTGTTTGTTAATATGACATAATATAACTATAATTGCTGGAACCATTGAGATTATTTTTGATAATTTTTCAATTTATTAAAATTAGGTTTATTTTAAGATATAATTTTCATATATTAAATTTTTATAGCATTTAATTATTAAAAATTATATTTATTTATTTTTTAAAAAATATTACACAATTTTAATTTACCAAAAATTCAAATTGTGATAACCTTTTTTGAGTTTGAACGCGAACTATGAAAAAAATAAATATAATTATAATGTAAATTTAGTAATATTAAATTTATTTTAAGATATAATTTTAAAATATCAATTTTTATAGTATTTAATTATTTTTAAACTATTTTTGATTTATTGTCAAAATATGCCATGAATTAAAAAAAATCAAATCCGGGACTAAAAACTAAAAACTCCGTGCAAACCTTCCTTCTTTCCTCGGTATCAGCATAGTCGAACCTGGATCTGCGCTCCTAAGCGGCTACGCCTTGCCGCCGCTAACTCTGCCAGAGTCTGCGCACCATCTCGGCTACGGCTTGCCGCCACTAACTCCGCCATCAACCTAACTGCCATTCCAACTTATACAGGTATCAATACTTTGATATAGTTGAGATTTTAAATGTTTAATGTTTTAAATCTTTAATAGATTGGTTTATTGTTGTTTCCAACTAATAATTGATGAAAATTGCATATTTTTAACTGGTATTTCATCTTTGGATTCTTATTTTGAATGCTTTTTATGTGTTCAATAAAGAGAAAGTTTTTCTCAATTTTAAAAAATAGAAAAAGAAAATGAATTTTGTATGACTAATCGAGTAATTTTGTATAGTCACTAGATTTTACCCGTGCGTTGCACGAATAGAGTTTACTTTAAAATATATTCTCATTTTGTTGTTTTAATGTAACAAATGCTACTCTGCATTATTTATAGGGAAAATAAAGTCAGTGACTTTGGTCTTAGGACGGAAAGAATATAAACCACCACAAAGGTTTTTTGAAGCAAGAAATTTTGTTAAAAAAATAAAAGGTAAGCCACAATACAATAGAAGGGGAGAAAACTCCTAAGAGGTAAGCCACAATATAATATAAGGGTAATTCAGAGTACAATGGAAAGAGAAATGAGTGAATGACAAAGGTCTAGAGATCATTCCCCGGATAAATCCATGGCAGAGGTCCCCGTAATAAAAATCATAGAAGGGTTTGTTTGGTCATGAAATGCATGCTCCAATTTCCTCCCATTACCATCTACTAATCATCTAATTCTGTTGGAAAGTTTAACCCAATCTGCGTGACTTTAGTGGGAAAGTTTTTGTATTGTTTTGTGTTAATATATATGGCCACCATCGATCTGTAAACTATTGTTCACTTTCTGTAAGTTTGTTTCTATTTGGTAATAGGTGTATACTCACAAAAGTAGGTTTGCTTGATCTTCTTTTTCACTAAATAATACTCTTAGTCTTTTACCATTCACTGAATTGGTATGCAATGTTCCATTAACAAATTTTTAAAATAAATCTTTCTGTAATACCACATTAAAACAGTGAGGGTTAATGTACTAAATTTGGGCAATGTCTTCTGCTCTTTCCCTAAGAAAGATTTGGATGATCTGTCTTTTCCTGCAGGATTCTGGATTAAGCACCCCGACCCTTTTAATAACCAGCAACCGTGTCTACTCCAATCCTCCCCAAGTACAAATTTAAGGTGGATCTTTTCTAAAGAAGTTGAAAATGAAACCGGATGCAAAGCCACCAAATACTCCATCAAGCTTCATTGACCAAGCAGTAGTATGTATATTTACAATTCTAGGTTACTTAGTATGCATGAATATTGATATGTACTTATGCAACTTATGAATTCTTCTTGAAATTACAATAAGGTCCCAGGAGATGTGATCCTGGATCTTTCTGCAATGGCTAATCAAACTATAAAGCTCGGGAGTGGCCTTCGACAGGTATTTCACTAGGAGTTTAAAGTAGAATTAAATTTGTTTCTTTAAGGCACATTTTTGTATTAACAAGGATTGATTGAAAATTTTATAGTAATCAAGAATTGGGATAACTCTGGGGGGTGGGGGTCGGGAGGGGACGTGAAATTGAATAGTTTCAAGAAGTGGGACTTTAGAGTTTAGACAACTGCACCAAATTTCTTTCTCAAGCAGCAATGGAAATTTGGGGGGGGGGGGGGGTCTTTAAATCACTGCATTTCATAAATCTGTGTTATCCCTTAAAACCTACTATATGTTTTGTCTTGGACTGGTTACAGGCTGTGCATGTTTCACACTATTTCCAAAAAAGATCTATGGGTTGCCTTTTGTGCTTAAAATTAGCTGGTTATTTTTGCAGGACCTTGAAACTGTTTCTGCCGTGAAAGCTGGAATTTTGAAATATCAAAAGCCAAACAAATACTGGGTTGAAAGCTCCCATAAAAGAGTGAGCACACTTCTTTAATTAGCCAGACCACCATCATTTTAGACAGTTTTTAGGTTTAGTGTTAACTCGTCCTTGGTAATGATCATATTAATATTGGGATTCAATTGACACGGTGTTATGGCTGTTCATATTTCTTTCCTTACTTCTGGTAAATTTTTTAGTTGGATGGTATTTTACTTAAAGATATTACACAATTCTTGCTGACCAGTTGCTATACACTTTGCAGTATGTTCCCTGTGCAGGAGATTCAGTTATTGGAATTGTTGTTGACCAAAAAGCCGATGTGAGTAATTTAATGTTCATACCAAAACATCCTCTAATATGCATGATTTTTATCCTTCATATTTCTCTAGCGTTTTATGCTTGGGATGCGGGACCATTAACCTTCACAAGCATCTCTTAGTGTCTTACGATGGTTAAATATACAACAACAACAAAGCCTTATCTCATTAGGTGGGGTCGGCTACATGGATCAAACGACGCCTTTGGGCCCTATCGTGGATCATATCTACTATGAGGTTGTTCACGCGAAGATCTCCCTTGATCAATGCTTTCCAAGTCCTTTTAGGTCTACCTCTTCCTCCAGCCACATGCATATTCACCATTTGATCAACCCTTCTCACGGGATGCTCTATTGGTCTTCTCTCCACAATGGTTAAATATAAACAGTTTTTATCATGAAGTTTTGAGAATAATCTTGTGAAAACTTTCTATACGGATGAGTATGATTGTCTTGACTCAACCCTTTAGACTCAATTTGAGAATACAATATCTCCATCCTTTATTATTTCTTTATATGTTGTTCTCTATCCAAATATAAAAAGTAGTAGAGAGCTTGTGCACACACATTAATGCCTACACTTATTTAAAAGAAACTTCCAAATGCATTGCAAATGTTCTTTTCGTTTCACATCGTAACATTACTGCAATCATTGGCCTATGTAGACTGGCACTACTTGGTAGTGGTCTGATGTGACTCCACAACATACAAATTGGTGGTGACTAGACAGTAGGATGCCTAGGCAGACTAGGTGGATGATTATGTGTACTGAGTAGCTAGGCGGTTTGTCGCCTAGTTCCTAAGAATAGCCTAGGCAGCCTATGAGCTAAGTGACAGTTTTATTTTCACTTAGAAACCATTGTTGAATTGTGAATTAATAAAATTTTCAGTATATTTAAGGGCCATTAAACTTCTTACATTTGCTTATACTATAAGCCTAAATGAGTCGAGTAGAAATTCACCATCCCTTATTATATTGGTGCTCGTTGATTGATATAGAAATATGAAATTTTCTACTGGTTCAAAGCCATATATGCATAGTGCATCACTGCAGCAGTTCAACCATCAATATATTATCTATATATGTTATTATAATATGCTTATTAAACATTTAATATTATCTCTCAATATTTGTGTTTATTTGTTCTGTTCTTGGTTGTCTTCTTTCGGTCACAGAACTTCTTTGTGGACGTTAAAGGACCGATGTTGGCATATTTGCCAGTGATAGCATTTGAAGGTGGAACAAGAAGAAATATTCCCAAATTTGAGGTGCTTTTTTCCTATATCAACACAATTTTAAAATAACACAATAGGTCTTGTTTTGTTCTTAGTTAAAGGTTTTCATATGGTTTGAGTGGCTACAAATTATGCTTCTACCAATCTAGCTTTAGTTGTTCTGAACAGTCTATGCATTATTTTTTTATGGTGTAATATAAACTTGAATAAGTTCTACATATGGATATGAAATAAGGCAGTTTTTAGTTTAATGGATGGCAAAATGAGCTCCGCCTCCCAGAAATTGTACCTTTGGTCTCCTAAGTTATGGTGAATAGTTGTCTTAGTCTCTCCTTCTCTTGCAGCATTTTCGGGAAATTGTACCTTTGGACTCATAAGTAGTTATAGGCAAATAGTCGACTGTCTTTTTGAAAAAAGTGTACCCATTTCATTCCTTGGAAAGTCAATAAAGTGGCAAATGGTACTTTTTTCAAGGGTTCATTTATGTGAGATTGTTGACTTCTTACGAACTAAAATGGACACCCTAGCGATCATTTTGACATTTCGTGAACTTCCCAGTTAATAAAGTTTTTTAATTCAGGAGGATTGATTCTATTTGATAACATCCCATTATGAAAATAGAACTGTTTTTTGAAACTGATTTTGGGACCAAACCTCCACTCTTGATTACTTATCTCTTGTGCATCTCTGTTTAATTATTTCTTTTGTATTATTTTGCTGCATCTATCCATTTAACAGGCTCTATTTTTTAATGCATTTGAGGCATAAAACATATTGGTGTGGTTATTATTAGGAAGGTTCTCTGGTTTATGCCCGTGTTGTCAAGGCCAATACTGGAATGAACCCAGAGTTGTCGTGCGTGGATGGTAGGGGTCTCTCTTCCTTCCACCTTTAAGAAATTTTTCTTGTTATTTATGGAAGGAAGTTCTTTATTAACTTTCTATTCATGCTTGATTAGTGATCATAAGATTATTCAAATGATAGCCTCTGCATTTTTTTTCTTTTTCTTTTTTCGTAGCTTCTGGAAAGGCTGCGGGGTTTGGTTCCCTTAAAGAGGGATACATGTTTGAATCATCTACGGGTTTATCAAGAATGTGAGACCCCTTTCTCTCTCTCTGTTTGAATCATTTACATAAGAGTGGACTTGTTTAAGAACTGATGGTGTTGTTATTAAGTAATTTTGAATCCAATTTTCCCCATAATAATAATAATAATAATAATAATAGTAATAATAATAATAATAATAATTTATGATTCAAACATGAAGATGCTTTTGCACTGCATATATCATGAGTTCGAGTATCTTACACACATTCCCAACGACTTATGAAATTGATGAGATTCCATAATTTTGATGAATATAAGTATATTTAATTAATCAGTCATTTCTTTGAATAGGCTTTTGAGTAGCCCAACATGTCCAGTCCTTGAAGCTCTTGGGAAAAAGCTTTCTTTCGAGATAGCAACTGGTTTGAACGGCCGCGTTTGGGTATGTCCCTCCATTTTTTTTATTACTAGTATCACTGAAATGCTCCCACTTTAGTAATAATCATAGGAAAAAATCATGCCAGACATGAAAACCCCAAGATTACGAAAGTATGAGCCCGTAACAACGTGGACCCCCCTATTTTTGAGGCGTATTTGCCGTCAATATGTAATCTTGGAGTGTTATTGTAAAAAATATTAAATTTCTGGGAGCATTGATGATAAATATGTAATCTTGTAGAATTTCAAATTTATATTATAAGGATTGGCATGAATGTGTGTGATTATTTGTTCATGTAAACCAGGTAGATGCATCTTCACCTGCAACAACAGTCCTTGTGGCAAATGCCATTATGAATTCCGAGTGTCTGAGTGCTGTGCAGCAGAAGATCATGGCTGAGAAGCTCCTACAAAGAGTGCAATGATTTGTGGAGGCTTTTTTCCCCAATATATATACCGTTTAATATGAAAGTTATATTAGCTAGTGGTTTTTTATATTTAAAAAAATGCGGGTTTTCCTAGAATATTACTACGGATATACATTATCGTTTTCATTTTCTTCAAGTATTATTGACTTTGTTATAATGTACTGTAATATTTTTTTCATACATCTGAATGAGTTGCCCATCCAAATCCTTCGGGTGGTTCTCTTGGAGCTCACAGTATATTTATAACTACTCTCTATCTCCAAATAAACTTTACATTTTTTAACATCTAAAAGTGAAGTTTATATTTCTCCATTTTCTCTTTTAGGAAACAAATATGTGAAGTCAAAGTGTCAAATTAACTATTCACCTTTTATTTTCTCGCTTTTTCCAAATGAATTTTAACTATTCACTTTTTATTTTTATCAACTTAACACTATTCTCAATATTTGTGAGGTCAACGTGTCAAATTAATTTGGAGACAGGGATTATTTGATTATATACTCCGTATTAAATAAGACTGTTAGAGTATATAATAATCATTCTTGGGCCACAATCACAAGCTTGAGCTTTTGGTTGAGTTGGTTCCTTGACATGGTATCGGAGCCTTGATGACCAAGAGGTCACGAGTTTGAAACTCACCGCCACCCAGTTTAAAAAAATTAAGGTTTCACGTGCAAGGTTCAAAGGTCACGCCTGCACGTGAGGGGGGCGTGTTAGAGTATATAATAATCACTAGTATTTAACCCGTGCAACGCACGGGTCGAACACATGTTATTTTTAATTCTTTTAAATGTTTATTTTAAGTACATAATTAAAAAATGAAGCTAAATATAATAGACAATGTTAGAATTTTAATGAATGATACAACACAAAAAGAGTATGATAACTAAATTTAATGGGATACAAAATTGGAATCGAGCCTATAAATGTATTGATTAAATCTAAATTTTTTACATAAATGGTTTTATTAAATTTATTATATCAAATTTTATAAATCTTATATGTTTTCTTGTTTTTCCCCTAAATATTATTCATAAATTGTTCACATCTCAAAATCCCAAAAAAGTAGTATTGAGTAATTATTTATTGTGGGATCTTTTGAGATACACCGGCCTCATGATATGCGAAAACATTTTTAAAAAAGAATCAAGTCGAATCAAAGTGTAAAACAATTTAAAGATTGGAGTAATTTTTTTTGGGCACACCAAAAATGAAGTAAGTATTCTCAAATACTGGTATCCCCTCCGTTTCTCAAAACGGTTCCTGTTTTGACTTTGGGAAGAAATAATGAAAATGTAATTTTAGTTGACTTTTCAATTTTGCCCCTGATGTGATGGGTAAAAGTAAGATGTGATAGTTTAGTTATTAGTGAAAAAGTATGATGTGATAGGTAGAGTATGCAAAAGTAGGGATAAAAGTGGTTTTTTAATAGAAAAGGGAAGTGTTTTAAGAAAAACAAAAAAATTGAAAGAGTAATGATTTTAAGAAACGGAGGAAGTATTTTTTTGGTAACAATGAACCTAATGGGTGAATTAATGCTGAAAATTATTGAAATTTAAAACCATTGCGTTTTTCAAAAATATTATCACAATCATAATATTTTTCGTAAGATAACGTTACACGTTGATTTTAAAGAAACACACCAACTCTTAAGGTTGAGCTAAGCTCCACACTTACTTTAAGAAAAGGCAGTGTTGAAGTTCCACATTTTTTGTGAAGCAGTTTTTGTATATATCTTGAAAAGTAAAATATTTTAAAAATACATGTATAATAAAGAATGGTTGAAGTGTTATGTGATCACCTATCATATTGTATCATTTGTTTATAAAAACTCAAATACAGAGTGTATAATGATAAATTAATTAATTCCTCCACTCTCCCCTCCAATCATCCCCAAAGGACAGTGGAAGTGGAAATAAAATTCTGCTTTTGGAAAACAAAGCAAATGACATAATCTTTAGTTGCCAAGTCCAAAAAGTGAATTTGCCAAAAAATGTAGCAACACTGCTTTTTTCAGCTTCTTCCCAACAAAGGAAGCGGAAAAACATGAGGAAATGTTGGTGTTGGATGCCTGATTTGCCAGCAAAAACTCCAAAAGCAGGAAACATCAATGCTAAATTATATCATAGCTCACCCAAACAAATTACAAAAACACACCTGATTTGCAGCTTCCCACAGTTTTCCTAATTCATAAAACTGGATTAAACAATTAGAGTCAAGACAGTAAGAAGCTAGCACTCAAAAGACATAAAATTCCCAGAAATAAAACAGAGGGAAGTGTGTGAAACCCAAAAACATCAATTTCTCAAAAGAAACTAACATGGGTGTTGACATATCAATATATCAATTTAGTCACTTTTTACCACCTTATCTTCTTATTCATCGTCAACCCTTCTAAAAAATAATAACAATTTCAAAAAATTAATTCTATTTTTTCTTTTCCTTAAATATGCACAAAAATCAAAACGGGACGGAAGGAGTAATTTTTTAAATTCAAACAACAAAGAATCCAAGAATCATAAATTATACGAAGTAATATGTCTAACACATAAATAAAACACAAAGAATAACAATACTCTCAAGGTCACATATTAGTTCTAGTATTAATTTTTCTCTATTTTAATGGTCTTCATCTTCTTGCTTAATTGGTTCTTCACCGTCTCTATCATAATGTTCAACCTCTTTCATTCTTTTTGTCAATAGTAGATCATCTCCGAGACGTTCAAAGTGATTATCCTTTGATTCCACAAAATCTTCAATCAAACTCTGCATGACAAAAAAACAATCCTTTAATGCAAGATACATTAACAAACAACACCTGTGATTTGAACATAGTTTCAATTAATTCTAAACAGTAGTGCTTGATACAATAACATTCATCTCTTGTTTCAAATTTGCCTTGCTAACCTCAAGGATAAGGCATATCTGTTTCCCATTTTTTCCTTTCTATACAGTACTGCTGGTCCTATATTTTCTTGCTTGATACCAATAGCATTCATCTCTAAACTTTTTATTAAACTGAGCAAACCAGAGGTGTTAGTGTACACTAATTCCTCTCACCTACCCGGCCATATCCAATGCCAAGCACGGGTTAAAAGAATATACAAAGTTTATTTTACCGATGCATTTTTTTAAAGACCTAACCTTCACACAAGATGATGCATCACCCATTGAGAAGGTGTGCTGCGAGGATTTTTCCCTAGTTGAAAGTCCCAAAGTCACATATGTCTATTAGTAAGAATTCCCAAAACAACATTTCTATTAGCATCTCAAAAGTCATGTGTTATTCATACATAATAAAAATATGACTATGGGAAATTTATATTCCAATTAATAATGTAATCAAACTTGGGCCAAGAAAAACGTTGAGTTCCTTTCCTTGAATTGCGAGATGGTTCTCTCATCAAAACAAATGTCAATGACATTATAGGAAAGATCAAACTCATTGAGGTGTGTACGACTAACATCAACTTTGAAAAGATACGATTTATCTATCAAGAGTTTATTAAAGACACTCGGTTCTATGTCTCCTCCCGGCAGGTTCTGTATGAACAATTGAAATAATGCTCACTAAGTACACCAAAATCAAGAAGCAATGTTATATTTCACGGGTTTTTTTTCTCAGCATAACATACAATGAAGGGCAAAAAAAACCAAAGGTTTGAAATCAGTTTCTTGAAACACACACACTGCAAGTTGAAATAAAAATTAGTCTTCTCAATGAAACTAAGACCTATTGCATTAGAAAATCAATTGCACCATTTTGCTTTCTCACGTTAAGAGTCATTATCACCGGAACCATACACTAATAAATAAATATTTTGTTCAAATAAATATTAGACCTCTCATAAACACTAAAAACTGATTAAGTGTGTCAGATTTAAGATCTAACGAATGTAAAGAAGAGAGAATCTAGGGAAGTCTGAATTAAGTGAGGTTGCATTTTGCATCAGAATGCCTCAATGGTGGAATATTTATAGTCTCATGGAAGTTGCTTTAGAATGGAGCAAATTGCATCTTGAGGGTGTTAAAGGTGAAGTTCTTAAAAAAACTGATATGGGACTAAATTGTAAAAAGTCAGTCGGGTCGGTTGTCTGTTACAAAGTCAGGCTTTGGGTAGAAAGTCGAACCCAATGGTTCAGACTTGGGCGTAGAAATCAGTAGCATGTGCATCTTAAGGGAGTTAAAGGTGAAGTTCTTAAAAAACTGATATGGGACTAAATTGTTAAAAGTCAATCGGGTCGGTTGTCGGTTTACAAAGTCAGGCTTCAGGTAGAAACTCGAACCCAATTATTCAGGCTTGGGCGTAGAAATTAGTAGCATATGAAATCAGTTTATTGAAATTTGTTTCTTGAAATCAGTGAGGTGTATGAAATCAGTTTGTCCATACAAAGGTTGTCCATACACCTCACTAAACCCACTCCAAGACAAAGGTTGTCCATACACCTCACTAAACCCACCTCAGGCATACAGTTTCTTAACACTGATTTCACATGCCACACTAACACAATGACCACAGATGTTTTTGCTTTACCGAGAGCAGAAGAGTTCAGGCAGTGCAAAATAAACCAAGAGCCGAAGAGTTCAAACCAAGTTATTTGAGTAATCTTTGATAAAAAAATCATCTTTTGATAACATATATGAGTCATCCTAATGCTGTCTATACATAAAATCAGAGAGGTTAAAACTTATTCAATTTATAGTATTTCCTTAAAAAAATTCAGCCTATTACAAATCAAGATACATATAGTCAGATAGAGTATACTATTTGAGACCACTAATGATACAGTGAAGGTGATGATTGTGCCCAGCGTTCCCTTTTAAAAACTACAACACATGAAATAGTTCGATAATTGATGAAAATGAATGGCTCACTTTGGGTCAAAGAATTTAAATATGGATTTAAAACGGGTATAAGATAATTTGTTATTATCACATATTTATCCATACCTCAGAATATTTCAACATCTCTGAACATGATTTATGGAGCAGCAAGCATCCAACATTTTCAAGTAGTAAGAAAGTAGCACTGTCCGTTGTGTCAACAACTCGTCTTTATTCGATACCTGAATCATAATTGTTTTTCATGATTTAATTTAATCAATAAAAAAATTGTTTACATAAAGTAATAACCGTTGGAGATTATTAAAATCTAAACCTTGGGATCAGATTCACCACTCGTCTCATCATCAAAAATCATCAACAACATATCCTCTTAGGAAACAACAATAAATCTGAATATAATAACAAAAAAAGTAACAACAAAACATCTTATGCAGCAAGCCGTATGATATAACAATCCGGGAGTCTGGAAGTATGCAAACAGGCAGCAAAGTTGTCTTTATAATACTCCGTACTACACTAAGTTACTAAAAGACCTATATTGCCTTATTAGTTACTAACAGACCTATATTGCCTTATTAGTTACTAACAGACCTATATTGCCTTATCTCTTTATTAGTTCATCATTAGTCATCTTCATTAGTAAGAGAGTACTCTGTAGTAGTATATATTTCTGTATCAGTCCAAGAGTCCTTTTGGTGTATGGGCTCTTAATTATTTTCATATTCACAGTTAGTAGTTAAACTTACACATAGTACTTAAACCCCAAATGCATACATTTTTTTGACAGTTAGTACTTAATCTTAGAGTTAGTTCTTAAACTTACAGTTAGTACTTAAACTTAGAGTTAGTTCTTAAACTTACTGTTAGTACTTAAACTTACAGTTAGTTTATTATTCTCACAAACATCCTATAGGTACATCAAAGCAAAAGCAATGCTCATTAAATTCCCCTCATAACCCATCTGATATAAAGTACATAAAAATGATGTCTATGCCCTATAATTGCAAGAGCATGACAATTGCAGCACAATGATGCATCAAAATGTAACTGCTAGTAGTACTGAAAAATGATGGATCAAAAATGTATTGGCACACCATGGCAGATGCAGAAAATGATGCATAAAAATAAAGAAAAAATATGCAGAAAAATGATGCATAAAAATAAGGACAAAATATGCATAAAAATGTATTGGCAGACTATGACAGATGCAGGAAAAAACAAATAGAATACTTGTTTGTTATCACAGTATTTGATCCGTGAATGAGCATTGCCCTTTCCCTTGGAAAAAAAAATGGATTTTGACAGTATGAAAGAAGCAGATTAGGTATGAATCACGATTTTTATTATTTCAATTAATTGAAGGAAGCAGATTGGTATCAATCAACCCACCAATTCATGAAAAAAAGAATTTTCCGGAATAAATTAGGGTAAAATTGGGGTAACCGAAGAAGAAGAATGGAAAGTCGAATAGCAGTACCTCGATTTCTTTCCTTCCGTGTAAATCCAAGGCAGCGAAGAATCAGGGCTGAATCAAATTAGTTTCCTAGCGTGAAGATCCAATTTTTTTTACTTTCCTTTCCGCGAAGAACGCGAAGAAGAAGGTCGAAGGAAAGAAAGAAGGAGCTTCAGCTAATAATTGGACGCGTGTCATCCGAGGTGTAAGCAAATTAGGAGCCTTCACTTGCCACGTGTCATATTATATTAAAGGATTCCTGGGCCACAACCACAAGCTTGAGCTTTTGGTTGAGTTGTTTCCTTGAGTGTGTGTATATATAATGTATGTGCGTATATGTATGTATATATATATATATACACACACGCAGAAACCCCTAGTTGCGAAATGGTACCAGAAACCCCTTTCATTAAATATCAATATCAATACGCAGTGAGAAAAAAATCTACTGAACTTTAATCTAAACCAAATTCAACTTAATGACAAAAAAAATTACTGATAGTGAACTGAACGAAAATTGAAGTGCTATTGAACTGCTCCAAAATTAGGCATCTAATTATTACGTATTACACTTTGCATGAATTATAGAGTAGTGACATTCATAACTCTTATACAGATCCGAAGGTATCATTTGTTAGTTACTGTAAAACTGGTACAACAAATTGCATTATTCATTTGCAAAATGCAATGAGATTTAGCAACAAGAAAAGAAGTCTCATCAAAGTTATATATATAGAGAGCAGCTACACTATCTGGAGCTGGGGAAGCTTTCTCCATCACCTTCTTCTTCTTCTTCTTCCTCCTGTTCTCCATCATCATCATCATCATCATGTGATGATGACATCTGGGCATTCTTGTTTGAGGTATCAGAATCTGAGCTCGAATTTGTATTCGCCTCTAAACAAGGAACATTGACCGTTTCTGAATGGTGACTGTTTTGATCTTTTTGCATCGTCGCCCAAAAGGCAGCCACCTTCTTATCATCCTCTCTCATCCTCTCTGCGTACTCTTTGATATCGAAATCTGCACTCCCCTTCCCGCCAAAACTGGCTTCCAGTTCACTGGTGTCAAACATGTCCTCCATTATCTTCTTAGAATTCGGATCATCCGCGTAAACAAAATTGACTTTCTTCACAGTCTTAGGCTCCAAAAACGGCTTTGCCATCTGCAATTACAGTCGCCCTTTTTTTTATATTAAAAACTAAACAAGAAGTCCGTAAACATGTAATGTGGAAAAACTAAGACAGGGTGGATTGATTACCTTCCAAAAGGGTTCAAAGATTTTGGGTGGATCATAGAGAATGGCCAAACCGAGTCTTTCGGGATAATGCTCTTGCAAAACATGGGCTGTTTCTTTGGTGACTTTCAAGGATAAGTGTGAAATATTAAAGCCGTGGAAATCAATCAACCAAACCATTTGTTCTTGATCCTCTCCGAGATTCACAATTGCATTCTCCATACAGTATACTAAGTACTTGATCTGGCCTTTAGTTGATTTTGTGTTCTGCACCCAACAAGTTTAGGGAAAAAATCAGAAGTTTATTTCTCCACTTCTGATTTGAAACAGTTTTCTTCTACTTCACATATATGGTTTCACTGGTCAAGAGAATGTAAGAAAACCTGGCATCTGGGTCTCATGACTAGAACTGTTCTCCCAAGTTTATCTTTACAATTTGACCGGTAAATCTTCCCAGTTTCTGCCTCAGAAGAAACATCATCCTGTATCACCATCCGGAACCATATTATGCTTAAATAGATGCAAGTGACCTGTGCTTTTTTACACCAGTTAAAAAAAATCCTACTACTGTAATATTTTTCCAGTCCACGAAGGAAATGATTCAAAGAAGATCTACCTTATATAAATGTGTACACAAAATGACAAAATGAAACTCAATCATAATTAACACAACACTAACACTATGCTTGGTTCATGAAATTTGAGAAAGGCACAAGAAAATAAAACAGGACAAAATGTAGTAAGAGGAGAGAAAACGAAAACCCATCCATTTTGGTGAGGGAAATGAGAGAAAACAATTTTCTTTTCTTTTCCTACCAAATTCATTGAACCAAACATAGTGTAAGAAAAGAGAGTAGAAAAGATACCCATCGAAGGTTTTCGGGCTTGTATTCCAGTCTCCACTTCAGTGTGGCTTTAAGCATCTTAACAGCCTTTTTAACATTCCAGTTCCGTGCTCTTAAATATCTTGATATGGTTGAATCCGAACAAAACAAAGCCAGCTTACCAGAAATTGGTCCAATCAACTTTCTCACTTCATCAATCTACACTCACCAAAAAAACAGAATGGCAATTAGGAACATCCATATGGATACAACAACAACAACAACAACCCAGTATAATCTCAACTCCGTTGGGATCTGGGGGTCAAGATGTATGTACAATCCTACCCCTCTGAAAACAGAGATGCAATTTTCATTAGACCCTAAATGCATTACTGCATTTGCTTCCCATATGCATTTCTCCATATGGATAGAGAAAGCCAATTTATAATACACGAAGATACCTTTTGCTTCTGTTCTTCTGGAGCCAAAGCATTCTCACAACCATTGGAAGTGGTAGACTTCCTATTAGACTTGGAATTCATAGTTTTGCAAGAAATCTGCTCGCTTTATAAATTGCAAGTGTAAGGTGAAAGAAGGTAAGTAGTGCGTCTTATCCCGTCTATTAGTTTCCCCCCTATATGATGCAATGCCTGCAGCCACACATGAAACAACGAGATTCAGTTCATTTCACCAGGAAAAGAAAATACGTAACCAGCATGCCCAATTCATGACAGAATCAAGCTAGTATCTGAAGCATACTACTAGTAGTAATTTTCTATAAGGGAAAATGTGCGAAGTTCTGAGAAAATGTGCAATGTGTTTTTAAAACGAGATGACTATTCTAACACCAGAACAAAAGAGGGAAGAAGTGCTTCCCGATTTTGCATCATGAGATCTGTCATGACACACGGGATAAAATTGGCCGGAAATTGTATGAAACAAAAAAAAAAATAGAAATTCAGTATTTAGATGTAACCCTATTGGATGATCATCCATACAATTTCCCCCCAGAAACAAAGACAACATTAGTTGACTCTACATATTATTCACCCCTAAAACCATACGGAGTAAACACTTCCCCCATTTTAGAATATTTATCTAGTTTGACTCTTTGAGATCAAATTGGACAGATTTTGATCAACAACTAAATAAAAATTAAATAATTTATAAATACAAAAGCAATTTCATTAGATTTATCTTGCAAAAAAAACTTGGGAAAAAATGTTTCATTGTATTAGTAGAAGATATAATTTTAATTTAATCATTGATTAAAGTTTGTCCAGCTTCATTGTAAAACTCGACGGATACAATGAAGTTAGCGTAGAGCAAAAAAAAACAAGTCGTTTGCACCTCAGTACTGTGAGAATCCACTAAAATCGGCACAAGTTACATGACTGGATCATCATCCAGGATCCAGATTAACCACTCTAGTTTCATCTAAAGGAAACAAAATCATCCACATACAAACTCATCTATTCGGAGTAAACAAAAAAAAGCATTGAAATCGCAATTTTCAAAAAATTACGCGGAATCATAACAGCTAAATTATACTATGCAAAGTCAATCATAACAATCGGGCAAATTAATCTATCATTCAAGCGAAATTAACAGTGAAAAAAACCTGGATAAAATCTGGAAAATGACGAAGAATGGAGGTCTAAAAGTAATTGTTGATATGGAATAGAAATGGAGTAGCGTGAAGCTTGACTCTGGAGATACCAGCTTCTGGAGATTATATGGAACGGACAGGTCGGGTTGACATGATAGGGCCGTATGTACGGTGCTATATATTTTGGAATATGGAGTTGATAATACTCCCTCCTTCAAAAATTAAACTTTACATTACGCGTTACGATGTTTGATTGAAGTTATTTTCAAATCATTTTATATGAAAAACGGTGTAGAATTAAAAAACAAAAATTACATATTAAAAAACTATATCAAAAGATCTACAAAATTAGAGGTGACATGACTATATTATTTTATCAAATGAGTGACGAAAATAGGCCAACAAAGTGAATAAAGTTTGACCCTGTAAATAGTGAACATAAAGTTTATTTGTGGACGGAGGGAGTATGTTTTGTATACGGAATTCAAGTCATGAAACTGAAATCAAAGATTTTGGTTTTAATTTTGCTGTTTGATAGTGTAAAACTATATGAATTTAAAATTCGTTGTGCAAAAAAATAAATTGAAATTGAAGAATTCAATTATATCCATTTCAATTCAATTGAATTTAAATTCCAATTTCATCAATTCTGTGTACCAAACTGCACGTCAATAATTTACTTACAAAAATCCCTTGTATATATAGAGCGGCACGTGTACTTACCCTCGACAGCTTTTTCGCTGATAATATTTGTTGATGTCAGATTTTTGATCCACAACATTTTTTACTCACACGTATACATATATCACTACAAAAAAATAACTTTTTCTAAGAGCACTGGTAATACGTTTGAAGCCCCGGGGCTTCAAACCGGGGCTTCAAACTTTCTCTCTCTGGCACGTCAGTTTTAACTTATACCTAAAATTCACTAGAAATGGGTTTGAAGCCTCGGGGCTTCAAAACTGGGCTTCAAACCTTCATTTTTTACATTTTTAAATATACATCTTCTAAAATTAAATTAATAAAATGTAATTAATTTATTATCTAATTAAATTAAAACACGAATAATAAAAAAACACATTAATTAAATAAAAAAAGCGACAATAATTTTAAAAAAAAGATACATTAATAAAAAAACTAAGGTAAATTATATTTCTCCTTGATCTCTCTCATTCTTTGCTCGTAGATAATTCATCCAAACTCCGACAACGTCCCTGGGTCGGTTTGCATGACTTTCATTTCGGCCTCTTGCTCCTTTAGCTTCAACTCCTTCTCTTTAAGCTTCAACCTCTCTTGTTCTAGGAGATTGAACGCCCGAAGTTGTTCAACCATTGCCCGGCCGATTTCGTCGCGGGGAGAAGCGGAAATAGAGGCGGACCCTCCCGACCCAGAGGCAATGGATTTTGCCTTCTTTCTTCCGATCGGCCGTGGAATGGGGTCCTCGTCATCGGAAGCCGCAACGTTGAAGGAAGGGATTTGATCGGTAGAACCGATGGTCTCGTCGACCTCAACCTCGGCGTCGACGGTGGATCTTTTCCGGAATGATACGCCGTCGGGATTGTTGAGTTGTTGCCACTTCGGGGAACGACTCAAAATCCCCCAAAGATCGATGGGCACCTTGCCTTGGTTCCCGTCGTCTTGATACCGGGTCGTGGCAAGCCGGAGAACATCGGCGTCGTTCATGCCGCTCCTCCGGGACCGGGAGCATTCCTCGTATACTCCCATAAACTTTCGTACTTTTTTGTTGANGCCGTGAAGAACTTCTCCTCGATACGATCCCACATCGCATCCTTCGTTTGCTCCGTACCTTTAAAAAAGTATTACACAATTTTTTTTGACACCATTAAATATAATATATATAAATAAAAATATAAATATATTAGAAAAAACAATTTTTTTACCAATGATAGGATGCTCGGAGACGTCAACCCAAGCCGACGCCAATATGCACTCCTCCTCCGGCGTCCACTTTTGGATTGACCGTGCCGCATCGGTCAACGTGCTTTTGGCTTTGTGGCTCCTCCGGCGTGTACTTTTTTTCGATCCGGACAGTTCCGGTTGAGTCTCCGGAACCGAATCTCGGTCGACGTACCCCGATTGTTGCGTCGCGTATATCGGCGGTCAATCGCCCCACTCTTGGTTGAACCACATCGCGGCGTCACTCGGGGGGAGATTGTCGGGAACGAAGCCGGAGCCGGAAGGATTCATGTTGAAAATTGGGAGGAGGGATTTGAATTTTGAAATTTAAAAATAAGAAAGAAGAAGAGATTGGAGAGAAGGTGTGAGAGATTGGTTGGAGAGGGTTGAATTTATAAGAAAAAAATATTTTTTTAAAAAAAAATTGGGGTGCAACGGCTTTTTTAGCCGTTAGGAGGGAGCAGCGCCGAACTCACGCCGCGTCAAAGGAATGACGCAGCCGCCCTCACGCCCGTTTCACGCCAGCGGGGGGCGGTGTTTCACGCCCCCGGGGCGTTAAACGCCCCGTAACGCCGGTGGGCGTGAGGGGTATTACCAGTGCTCTAATAGGGTATTCGTGACACATTCTAGAATTTACCACAAATACTCCGTTACAAAAAATATTTGTGACAAATTTTTAATGTCACAGAAAGTCAAAATTTTTGCAGTGATTATTGGCCAACAAGTCTTTAAGGGCCGGCCCGGCCCGAGCCTTTTTTTCTTGATAGCCTTAAAGTTTTTAATATTTTATACTTTTCAATTTTTCATGTCTTATATTGTCTGTTTTGATTTACGATATTTAACTGAAGTTATTTTCAATTTATTTCATATGAAAAATAGTATATATAATTAAAAAATAAAAAATACATATTTAAAAACTACATAAAGTTCTACGAAACTAGTAGTGATATGACTATATTATTTTACGAAATGACTACAAAAAATATAGAAAGAAAGTGAATGAAGTTTGACCATATAAATAGTAAACAGTTAATTTGGGACGTAGAGTACATTTTATTTGGTTAAAGTTATTCACAATTCAATTTATTAAAAAAATTGGTATAAAGCTTAAAAATAATACTATATATTTAATAATTATATACAAAGATCTACGAAGCTAAAGACAACATGGCTATGTTATTTTAACAAATAAATAACATAAATAGGCTAACAAAATGCATAAATTTGGCTAAGTTAATATATTTTAGAGTGATTATGATATTGAATTATAAAATTATGATTTTGTAACGTACGGAGTATATTACTCTATATTATATTGTTAATTACTCTTTCAGTTTCAAAAGATTGCAAGACGACACTAAACAAAGTAATTTTTTAAATTTTTTAATTCATTTTATTTAAAAATTAGTATAGAAATAAAAAATAAAATTTACGTATTTAAAAATTACGTCAAAAGTTCCACAAAATAAGAAGTGACAAGAATATTTTATTTTATCAAATAATGAATGAAAATACAAAAACAAACAAAAGTTCCCATGATTTTTAAATAGTGAAATGTGGTAACTTTTTTGGGGCGGGGAAAGTGTTGTTTAAAAAAATAGTTTATACCCACTCCGTTTCTTAAAATACTTCTTCTTTCATTTTTTTGTATTCTCTAAAACGCTTTCACTTTCTATTAAAAAATCACTTTTACCCCGACTTTTTCTTACACTTTTTATCACATCATATTTTTTCACTAATAATCTACATATCACATCTCACTTTTACACATCACATTAAGGACAAAATTGGAGAACCAACCATAAATATACACTTACGTAGTATTATTTTTCTGAAAAATCAAATGTTTTGATAAACTCGATATAGGGGCTGTTTGTTTCAGCCTCTTAATGATTCAGATGTCTGAATGGTTCAGCACTTAACGGTTCAGACTGTTTGTTTCAGCCTCTTAATGGTTCAGATGTCTGAATGGTTAAGAGATTTGCCTCTGAATGGTTAAAAATTATACAGAGTCTGAATGGCTAAGACCTCTTATCTGAATTGATCAGACATTTGCCTCTGAATAGTTAAGCAATATACTAGCTCTTAATGGTTCAGACTTCTTACTGGTTTAGCACTTAATGGTTCAGACCTCTTACTGGTTCAGCACTTACCCATTCAGAAGTTGCCAAACAGCCCCATAGTTGATTTTGTCAGGGTCAAAGAGCTCATTTTTTAACGACTAGGACCCTTAATACGTCTTATTATAAACCACGCAATAATCTTGTACGTTGAACATGTTTGTGCTGTCAAAAGCTGGTATCATCAAACCACTCCTTTTCCATGTTGGTTTGTGAGTGACTTGTCGTCCTATAATTAATTTCTCACTTTGATCTGGAATGATTTATAAAGAAGTGTGTATAATTTTTTACTGGTATGAAATACTTTGGGGTATATTTTTTCCATTTGTCATTTCTTTGTACTATGTTTTACTCCGCATTTATTAACAAAGCTAGATACCTGAGTAAACACCAAAATAGTATTCGCTCCGTCCCTAAATATTTGCAACATTTGCTTTTTGAGCAGTCGCGAGAACTTTTTTTTATTTCTACATATTCATAGGTTATTTGATAAAATAAAATATTCTTGATACCTCTTATTTCGAAGAACTTTTCATGTAATTTTTTGATATGTAAATTATATATTTTATTTCTATACCAATATGTAAATAAAATGAATTGAAAAAATTTGATATTTTACAGGAATACAAGTGTGACAAATATTTAGGGACGGAAGTAATATACCTGTAGCACGGCCATTTATTATCTAGTGAGTAGTGACATTGTTTAACTCTAGAATTTTCACAGTTCACCAACATCATTAAAAAGACTCCCCATCTGAAATGATCTTCCCCGAAAATGATCTTCCCATTTAACTTTTTTCATAAATACTTTGTTGTTGTTGTATTGGTCAAAATGCAACGTTAGAGACTGTGAAAGATCAAATGAAAAAAATAGGTCAGAAATATTCAAAACACCAAGGAATTTTGCTTCCAAAAGACTATTGAGGGGGGATAAATCACAATGAAAATCTTACTCGGCGAGAACCTATTTATAAACAAGTTTTTTATTTTCTTGAATATGTATGTACACAGGCTGTAGAAAAGATGAGCCTCCAGCAAATCATCTCTCTCAGGTACAGTCCACAACCACATTTCCAGTATGACACACATGTATGTAGAGCCTCCCATCCCCTCCCCCTGTACATACAGATTTTTAACACTTCCCAGTCCATGGAGAAACCAAGTACGGAAGGAGTATTGTATAACCCGACCCGTTGCGAAGAAACAACCTCTTCTTTTCACGCGCAAAACATCCTCCCGACCAGCAAAGAGGCGCGAATCACCTTTCATTTTCACCCCAAATCCTCTCCACAAAGTTCGTTTTGCAAATCTTCCACGGCCGACCTTGGCCCAGCAATCGATGTGATGCCCCCGCGGAGAGATCTATCTCCACATGCATGGAACCAACAGTTGGAGGCATTCTTTGTTGTCACGCTTCAGCCCTCTCTTTCCCTCTCTCTTCCCCATGCCTCATTCTCTTGAGCAATAAAGGGGTGGCCGGAGGATCATATGGGATGGTTGTTCCATTATATGAAGAAAGCAGCTGAGAATTGTCATTAGAAGTTTCTTCTGCCAACTCCACCAGACCCATTATTTAGCCTCTTATGTGTGCCTCCTCTCCCGCCGCCGCCGCCGCCGCCATGCTGCCAGGCAGAATCCCTGGATTTATCTCCAAACCTATTATTATTACTATCATAATCATCCACGGAGTTGTTCTCTAACTGTGGGGGCGGCGGCTTATAGTGCCGCGGGTAGTGGGTCCCGTTACGCATTGCGTTCGGCTTCTCATCCTCTTCGGAAGGTGTCCCTGACCTGCTAGATTCCAGTTGCGTCTCGTACAGCCTAGGATGGTGGTAGGGTCCACTTCTCGCCCCTCCTCTGTTACCAGGAAGAGGAGGAGGAGCCAACCAGTCCTTCGGCAAGCAATCCATGTCCATATAACATTTTCTTGCTTTGGCATCAGCAATAAGAGCAGCCCAGTCTTCAGATTGGGTGAGTGCATTGGCGTTTCCCATCACCTGTGGTAAAATGTAGACCAAAGTTGCATCAATATTCAGCACCCACACACCATGGTGGTCTGTTAAAGTATATAACTCATTATATCGAATTTCAAATATCTGGACAAACTAATTTCACTTGTACTTTGTATATTCTAAATCTAAATATAACAACACGTTTAAAAAGATTTAATCAAAAAATGATTTTTCTTTGTATTTTCCAAATTCCCAAATTCCAAACATACCCATAGAGCTCTTCGGGCACGGGTTAGGGCCACATTCATCCGGCGTATATCGGCAACAAAACCCACTCCATGGTTTGAGGCACGGACACAAGACATGATGATGACATCACGTTCTTGTCCTTGGAAAGCATCGACAGTGTTAATGTATATATCCTTTCCTTCTTCTGAACTGAGAATGTCTGCAAATTCTCTCTGAAGGCATTTCAGTTGAAGCTTGTACGGAGTGATAATACCAACTGACACTTTCCCAGCAACACCTAGAGATTTACAAGTCTTCTGCAGATGCTCGTACAGCCTAACACAAAACTGTGCCTCGTGAGTATTCTGGTACGAGACGGACCCACCGCGATGCGACTCCCGCCCGTGTGTGATGTCATAAAAGATGTAAGGGCGCAGCAAAGGGTCCTTGTAATACGGCTCATCGGCCAAATTGATAACACTCTCACTGTCGGCAAGCCGCCCTTGGTAGAAATACTTGGAAGGGAAATCCCTAATTTGAGGGTGCATCCTGTACTGCACAGACAACAACATTGTCGGGCAGCCCGCTTGTTGAAACCTCTCAAACAGGCTTCTACTGTACATCAACGTCCCAGCTGCTTTGCTGATTACTGTCGCCGGAAGCTGCTGTGGGTCCCCAACCAGCACGCACCGTGCTGCGCCGAGCGAGAGAGGAGGCAGCACTCCCACTTCACTGGCTTGAGCTGCCTCGTCAATCACGACCATGTCAAACCCATGAGTGAGCCGAGAGAATAGCTTCCGGCCACTGCTTGACACGGTCGTGAAAACAATCTCTGCCTCATTTGCAAAGCTGGCTTCTAGACTGGCTCGAGCTTCCTCCAGGTTGAAATTATTACCCACCCGAAACCTACCTTCGAGAATCAAAAGACGGGACATCTCAACCAACACTTTATCTCTATTCTCCACCACCGCCGCCAGGTTCTGAAGTAGAGTGTCACGGTTTTGGTCCCTAGCCATTAGAATGTCAGGGTCAACACCAACAGAACCTTGGGCCCTACCAGCGGCAGCAGCAACATTGAGCTCTCTTTGAAGGCATGCCATCTGCTGAGACAATTGGGCTTCCCGGATTTTCAACTGGTGCATCCATCCAAAAACTTCATCACGATTCTTTAACAAAAGCATTTCGGTTCTTCGTTCCACAGAAACCGCTTGTGCTGCCCTGGTCTGGGTATCCACCCCAACTCGGGCCACATCGGGGCGGTAAACTTTCATCTCCCCATCAATAAACCCACGGTCAAGGACTCGGGCAAGCAGCTCATCCGTGGCAGCATTAGAAGGTGCACAGACAAGCATCCTAGGTTTTGGGCAAAGCTTAGGGAGCGTGCGGAATAGGTTGTGATCCATGTTTAGGAGGACTTCATCAATGGAACCAGAGGCAACATTCTCCAAGTTATTCTCATTGTTCTGCTTATAACTCTCGGGTGCCAATTTCTTCAGCAGTGCAGTGTAGTAGTGTTGATACTGAACAAGATGGATCACATTGAGCATCCCCCAGACTGTGTGTGTCTTGCCCGTTCCAGGGGGGCCTTGTACCAAAGTGAAAGGCCAGGGATCTTGCTTCCTTGCAATCCCATTTGTTCCTGCGGCTGTGTGGGTTCCAGCCCAATGGATTGCTGCTAACTGGGGTGCATTAAATGTTTTGTGCAAATACTCAATGAAATTTGGTGTGAAGCAGTCAGGCATAGCTGGTGTTTGTTCCTCATATTTCGGAAAATGTTCAGGGCTTGGTTGAAGTATAGCACTTTGCATCTACACATAGGAGGATACAACATTGCAACAAAAAATGAGGACATTTGATCGATCTAGTTTTAAAAAGAAACAAAAAAACATCAAAATCACCAAAAACCCTTTAGTTGGTTAGTTAGAAAGTACCTGTGAATTAAGCCGACGGAATGCATGCAAAGCAATGTACTCTCTTTGGGTGGTTGCTAGAGAGCCCAAGACAGTCAGAAACCAGACACCCCTCGGTTGTAGTTTCCTCAGAATATGATCATCGTCAATCATGCTGAAAACAATGATAATAAGCAAATCTTTTCATCAATGGTAGGCGCAAACATCATGTACTCAACTGCTGCACAGCGCACTGACCTGTTGTCATAGGAATCGCCAACATAAAAGTGAAGAATTGCCCCAAGTGGATCCCTTCTATCAATCGGAACGTGCCGCCTGACTGTACCAGCAGCACGACCATTAATTTCAGGCTCTTCACCATCACCAAATGTTCTTCTAGATCTGCTGGCTGCTTTGTAAATTATCATCATAATGATTAGCATAAAGATTTGATGGTATAATCACAAAACATCCACCATAAAAAAAGCACTTTGTAAACCTGATCCGGGGCGAGGGGTAGATAAAACTGCAACGTCTCCCTCTTTGAATGTCCACTTGAGCTCACCATCTGGAATAAGTATTACATCATACCATCCTGCAAAAGAGTACAACTAAGAAAAGCAGAGCAGATAAAAAGAAATGGAACATTTGAGCTCACCTTTGCATTATGTTTTCTAATGAAAAGTGCTAACTACATATCAGCTAAAATTTAGAAGACAAATATCTCCTAACTATTGACTTAATAACTAACACTTTCCACCTCCTACAGGATAGAACATCAATTCTCTAAATACAGATGAGGTTGAGTATAGCTTATAGAATGGGAAATGTAGGCCTGAACACAGAAGAAGAAATCTAGCCATGTAGATTGAATTAAAAACATGAAAATAATGGCATAATAATTATTAAATTAATACAGATTAAATTTCACCCTGACTAGATACTATAATTTTAAAAATTTTAAACATTTAGAGCAAGAATGCAAGATTAATTATCCATTTTGTATATCCCTTGAAGCCAAATACAAATATACAATAAGGATACAAATTTTGTATGGTCTCGCGAATAACAGATAAAAAAACAAGTTCTACCTCTTTCTCGTCTTTCAACATTTTTTACATAAACTTTGGCATGTGATCCTGTTTCAGTTGCCTCCTCCAAGGTGCTTGACAGTTGGGCTCTACATTCCTCAAAAAGCAAAGGTTCAAACACACTAACATACTCTTCCACAGACTCAAAGCTGCCAGGAACAAGTTGAAGCTCTGTTTTATCTGGGGTAAAGAAAAAAAATGTTGAGCAACATATATATAAATACAAACCACAAAGAAGCCATGTAAAAAAACCCAGATATATAGCACCAATATCAATCTAGTGCATGCCACATTTATGCAGAAAGAAGTGAGGACACAATTAACGTTGTAGAAAATATGGAAAATGACATATGCAGAAAACATTTAAATGCTTGGACGCTAGCATACGTGATATGGAAAAATAGCGATGTTAAGTATAGAAGCAGATCTTATTAGCAAAGCAACTTCAAACTGTTCAAATATGTACAGGAAAAATGGGTGAGATTTGGTTCCCATATTTATCAACATAAAGTTAACGGATAACAGAGCTACAAATTTATAAAGGCACACTAGGCAAATCCTTAGACTGTACATTCAATATGGTCCCTGCAAACCAAAGTTCCAAACTAATAATATTGTAGAGTTCATTTTTGACAATCTGTCATCCCAAAGGCTTTCCAGAACATGGACATGCCCACCAGATGTTGTAAAATCCCATCCTTCATGTGTGCCTGAGTAATAGAAAGATCACCGTACACTTAATAAAGTGTTGCATCCAATGCTCCTTTCACCAAAATATCACATCGAAGGATCATGTTTATACCAAACAAATTATCATGCACACACTAGTTTCTGCTCTCAATGGAGCCTTTTTGGGTAGAGCAGCCAAAAATGATAAAATACCGCCCATAAGTTACTGCTCAACTCATACTCTTAACGTGCCAATTAAGCTTTCTAGAAATTATTATTATTCTTTATTTTGCCATTTTGCTGAGTGGGGGGGGGGGGGGNGCCAACAGCACAACAAATGAAACTGAAGCTTCAAAGAACATGGTTGAAATATTGAAAACCAAATTAGATACCTGAATAATGCCAAAGCTTTTCGGTGGTCACCTCGCGCAAAAGACGCTCAACTGATGTGTCTTGGTATTGGGTATTTAAGACAGATTGCTTCTTTGCAGGAAGCTTTTTTGATCCCAACTTTGTATCTAGAGAGTTTTGACCAGTCAAGGCAGGCTTTCTACTGGGAAACTGGGAACTCTTGGATTGTGGTTGCCTATGATCTGAAGCTTGACTCCAAGAACCCTGTCTAGCAGCAGAAGTTGGTGCCTCTTTCACAAGATTTGTGGAACTATTCATCCTTCTAGGAACACTTAATGATCCTATATGCATATCATCATTACAGTCAGATTTAGAACCATTAGGTTCTAGACAACTACTTCCTTGGTTAGTTGATGAATCAACCTGTGTCATATCCTTAGACAATGACTGCACCTGCTTTTCCGCACTCTTATCAGCATTCAAGATATCAGTTTGAGCATCTTTTACAGTACGGGTGGTAACAGTTGCAGGAAAGTTCTGGCGCCTAGTTGAACTCCTTGGGGGAGCAGCTTGTTTGATATCTTCCAGGTCAAGGAACATGGTCTGCCTGTTGCGCTTCTTACCTAGCATTGCTTCCTTCTGCTGGTCAAGCCTAGGACGCTTTGCAAAATTGCCTGCACACTTCAGTGCGTGAATTGCTTCAGGTCCCCGGTTTTCTCTTTGCTTAGGCAATGAGATCGTGTCCTCCTGACCATCCATGGAGTTGTGATTGCCCTCAATATCTTGTCTACTATTGTTTTTCCTTCCATTTGTGTCTCTCTCAGATACTGGAGAGGGAGAATTGATATTTTCATCTCTCATGTTGTCAATGCTTTGAGAATTATTCTTTACAGAAACCTTTTCATTTTTGTTAACCTCATCAACATTGGGTTTCGTCTCCTGGGCCTTGCCATTTACAGAACTTGGGTGATCTTGGATATCAGAATTTCTACATATATCTCGAGATTCCTCTGCATCAGACCACTCACCTTCTTCTTTCTCAACGATGTGTGTACCTACAAAGCTCAAATTTGGAGGGAGAGCAGTCTTCATAGCCTGACTATTACTATTACTTATCATTGATGAATGTACATTTAATGGTGTGTCCACTGTAACATTATTGGGGTTCTTATCATAACTTATCAATGATGAGACTACATTTGATGGTGTATCCCCTGTATTATTCTCTCGTTGGTAAAAAGTTTTTGTTGCATCAGAGTGTTTTAGACGAACAAACGGTTGAAACCCAGATAACGAAGATGCATGTGAAAAGGCATGCGTGTTAACTTTCACGTGAGGACTAGAAGATGCTGGGAAAAAATCATTAGTGTGATTACTTGATGAAGGAACTGCCCTCTGAGGCAGGGAACTGCAGACACCGCCATTTTCCTGGTCATCCTCAGTAGCAGGTTCGTTAAGATCAAATAACAGCCTTCCTTTTGATTCCATTTCAAATACAACTGCAGGGATACTAACTAGAGTTTCTGTATGTACCCATCTCCATCTACTATTTACAGTTGAAATGCACAAAGCATACCAAATATAAGAGGCAGTAGGTAAAAATCGAACCCCTTGCTCGCTGCAATTAGAATGATAAAAGGATAAGGTGTCTGCAGTAAATACATATAGAGCAAATTTATTTTGGTAGGAAAAAAAGGGAGAGGAAGATTGAATTCAAAATCCACCTCCAAAATTGGTGTAGGTCAAACTATTCATAAGTAACAAAAGCACAAACAAGAACACCATTATCCGATATTTAATCCCAACTCCTCGTGGTTACCAGTTACCATCACCACATCACATATGGGAAGGTATCAGAGTGGTAAGCCATTTTGCCACAATGATGGCAATGGGGTTTGAAGCTGTGATTGATGTCTACTTGAGAGTTGAAGAACCATATACGTGCAAACAATGCCAGATTGGGAATTGGTCACTATGGGTCAGGTAATAACAAATAAATTAGCCCACCAAACCATTACCTAAGGCGCTAACATATTGGGGCACAAATAGGTGCGCCCACTCATTAATTTCTTTTAATGTGTCACACAAATAGAGATGGTGAGGCAATTGTGCATCCATTCCAGCCACACAATCATGTAAACGCACTACACAATTTTATCACAAATGCCCAAATCCATCTTCGGAGATGGAAAATGCCCAAGAAGTTCAACAACACAATTGCATCTAAAGGATTCACATGCATTTGCAAATAGCAATAGCCATCCAACTCAAAGCACACACAGATCATATAATGCCACTAAAGAGAACATAAAGAACTCATCCGTCATACATTCTAAAATTAAGGCATGTAGAGAATTCAAACTGACCTAAAAACAAACCCTAACTGGCTGTCATCTGATGTCCTGGCAAAAAAAACTCCACACACCCTCGAACTTAAGTCTTCCTGAAGCAAAAAAACAAGCAAAATCCCTCATTCATGTTCGCAATTAATCCAATTGATTAGCAAAATCCCCAAAAAAAAATAATCATTCTTCAACATCAGATCGCATCACGTTTCCGCAGCGCGTGTTCACATTCGGCACAGTTAATCTCGATCTAATTTTCTCAGTGCACTGGCCATTATTTCTCATGCAAAGTGAATGAATTGAATAATTAATTAAATAATTAATTAATTCCGAAATAAATTAGTCAGATATCGGAGAGAGGAAATACCTCAAAATGGTACCAAAGGATGTGGAGTGCGAAATAAATTAATTTATTTAATGATTGAAATTAAGAAAATTAATTAATAATTCTCCTTTCCTATCCGAAATTGTGGTTGAGCTTTGTCTGTCTCTGTTGAGGAGTATGTCTCAGAGAGAAAGAAATTTAGAGAGAGAAACACAGAGAAAGAGAGAGGAGAGAGAGATGAGCAAATGCAACGAAGAAGGATGGGATATCTTAGGGGTATTTATAGGAAACACCGTCCGCTCTTCGTTGCCCTAATCGCCGTCGATCTATTTTTTATCTGTACGGCGTAAATCTGAACGGTTGCTGTATTCATGTCACAAATATTCAGACTGGAAAAAAATAAGAGCGGAAGGTGAATTACTCATATGCCCTTCTACTGTCGGTTTATTTGCACGAGTAGCATCGAGGCTGAAGTCGTGATTTGCGGATTACTGAAACAAGGGTAGATGTGGAAATTTGGCGCTTGGTTCTCGTGCCACCCTGTATTATTTTGTCCGGGAGTGCGTGACTCATGTTCGATGACGTGTCTATATCCAGGCCCGTTTGGGAAACAAAATATGAACCGGTTTTCATAACTGCAATTTACGGAGTTAATTTTTTTTTTAATGCTCTGTTTGGTGATGAAAACATGAACAGAATAATAATAATAAATTATTCTTCAAAAATACGGAGTATAAAAAGAGCAAAATATGGATGCATATCCTCTAAAAAATCTTAATTGATCCGAGTCAATTTCAAATAGAATCAAGTCACTGTTATAATCGATCAAGAAATTATCTAAAACAGAAAGAAAAACATAATTATTATCTCCGAAATTGCTACGACATGTTGTTATCTCTAAAATAAAACAATTGCATTATAACAGTATGACACTGTAAATTTGAGATTGTATAATGCTTTTAGTATTATATATTTACATTGTTGTTATTGTAGATTTTATTTTAAAGATAAAAATATACAAAATAAAAGACTTATTTTGATTTTTTTACCCTTTGTCTTATTCGCAATTAAGTCTTTCTCCATTAACCAAATCAATTTAATCATTCCCATTGATGGGTATAACATATACACTTATTGTGTTCTATACAAAAATTAAGACCACTCGCATATTAAAGAATGTTCAAAATGAGCAGAGCGTGATGGAAGAGATGTATAATCAATTAGACCACTACGAAGAAGATGACCAGTCACGTCATACATAATCAGTTAAAGAACCAATTTCTTCGTCAATATATGATGATCCATGAAATTGAAAGTAATCATATTTTTGTGAAATGCCTCAGTCATTTCTCGAATACAGGACACCAGACTTGTCTTAATCAAGTGAGCACCAACAATATTATTCCACTTAACGGTATAGAAGGAGAAAAGATAATCAATTCTATTGCACAAATATACTATACTCTTGAGATAGCATGAGAAAATAATATATTTAATCTTCCTCGACATTCAATAATCGATACTTTGCATTTTTTCTCTTGAAATTGCTGCTCTGTGTCTTTTATATTTTATTCGATGAAGTTCTGATTTATCATATCATACCCGTGTATACTAACATTGTACCATCACCCAACATCATATACTTTTTCTCACTTCATCCATCATCATCGTAGTTGTGTTCCAATATTCTTGAATTTTGTTTGAATTTACTTTATGAACCTGCGCCACCTCGACCAAGTCAGAAACATTGAAATCTAAGTAGAAGTTAGTTTAAACAACGATACCGTTTTGTTGTTTAGCTTTTTTTAAACCTCTACTTCTTCTGTCGCCTTCAATTTTTTAGAATTATTAATATTTATGTATTCAAATAAATTTTGTTCCTTCAATTTTTTAGAATTATTAATATTTATGTATTCAAAAAAATTTTGTTCTTTGCATGTTTTCATCTATCATTTGATTATAAAAGATAATTATATTACCTCTTGCTTTTTACTTGGATAGATCTTTAGATGTATTTTTTAAAATTATAAATATTATTTTTAAAAATTTTTACAAATTTAAAAAAAGAATTGATAATGTCATCAATTGTACTACTACATATGTCTTAGAAAAAAATGCAGAAATGAAGCATATCAATCGTTAGAAATCTAGCTAAATAAATTAAAACTAAAGCATTTTTAATCTTCTCGTTTCTACTTTTTTCTCTGTCTAGATTTAATATTCATTTTTTTAGATCATATGCATGTGTGTTAGGACGAAATTGTTGCCCTTTAATTAAAATTTTCCAACTCGACTATTTTCATTCTTTAGCAATGATATTTCGAATACATCTACCTGATAATCAACGTCCCTTAAAATGAGTACATCGAACTCATGAATTATATTTGTAGAAGAATTACATCTAAATAACATTAAAACATGTAATACATGACAAAATTATACTCACTCTGTCTCAAAATGTTTACGTTTTACATAAAGTGAAAAGAAATTTCAAGTTTTTAAAATTTATTTTATTTAAAAATTAGAAATCAAACTTACATATTTAAAAATTACGTCAAAAATTATGTAAAATAAGAGGTGATACAAATATTTTATTTAATAATCAATTAAAACAGAACTAAATTTTTATGACTTTTGAATAGTGAATAGTGTACGTAATTCTTTTTTGAACGGAGAGAATATCAAATATGTTTTATCTCATAAATAAGAGTGGTAGGACAATGAAATGTCTAGAGTATTGCACTATGAAATGTCTAGGTGTTTTCATAAAAATAGACGTTACACCATAAATTTTCATACACCTAGCACATGTACGACAATTTCTGGATTGGAGACTTGGTCTGGAAAATTACTGGATAGATTACTTACGAGTCAATTTGAAATTACAACGGCATGGTAAATACTCAAATTAATTTAGGAAGCTAAAGATTATTTTCATAAAAATATAAAGACCTAACAAGTCATTAATTTTTAAATGATATTTCGTAAAAAATAACTTTAGATCTAAGAGCATCTCCAACGGCAACGTGTATAATTGGTAAGCTAAATCATTATTTAGACTATGAATAGTGTTTTAACTATGGGCGCACTCCAACAACATCCTCCATATAGCTATATTTATAATTTTTTAATGGTTATTGTTTGATAAAAATCCACCCAGCAGGCCAAGAATCATTCTCCACCACAAATATGAAAATAACTTTTCTACAGTTGTCTTTCATTTAAGAATGATGCTACAGTAATTATAAAAGATGTGTTATTTATTAGAAGCACCGTTGGAGCACCAAAAAATGAACAGCAACATGTATACATTCTATTTTTTGGCGCACGTTGATTTGTTGGTCCGGTTCAGGCTTCCACACAATGGGACAAAAAACGGGTGGGAAAATTGCTCTAATATCTGCATCGAAAAGGATAAATCCTTTATTATAATAAAGAAGACTCGGATGCACGGGAATGCGACATTTGGCACGCCTATTTGGCAAATTTTTAACATGTCAGCGCCACATAATCCTTTACTCATGTCTCTAAGAAGTTGACACGTGTCATCTTACATGAGAATTTTTAAATAACATGACACATGAATAAATTACATTATATGCTTTAAATTTTCATTCATCATTTATGGAAATTTATTTATGATAACCTTTAAAGAATGATGATTTTAAAACAATATATTTTATATTGAAAAATATAAAGTTTTTAATTTATTATCCTTTTTTTAGCACCAACTCTCAAAGTAGTTGAAATGATAAATTAATTTGTCATGTCCCTCATTCATGGTGATGAAAAGGAGTACTTGATTTCTGATTCTTCGCGCCACGCAGATGCAGATGTAAGTGTTGATGTAGATTGGATAACAATTGAGTTTTTGTACGAAATCAAATGTTTGAGAATCTCAAACCACAAAATAGTCTTGAAAAGAGGATACCAATTATGCTATTGAGGAACATTGACCAAACATCTGCATTGTGTAATGGGACAAAATTAATCGTTTGAGAGCTGCAAAATAATGTTATCGATGCAATTGTGGTTTCGGAAATCGAGCTTGGGAAAAGGTTTACATCCTCTTGAAAGAATTTGGTACCATCTAATCCAGGCTATCCTTGAAGTTCCAAAGAATACAATTCCCAATCGCCTTATATTTTGCTATGACTATCAACAAAAGTCAAGGTCAAACAGTATCATTTGTGGGATTATTTTTTAACTAAATCGGTGTTTACACATGGTCAACTTTATGTTAATGTTTCACGAGTGAAGACAAAGACAAGATGAAAGATATTGATGCTAGATGACAATGGAAACTCTTGCAACCATACCAAAAATGTTGTATACCCTGAAGTTTTTCAAAAATTCTGGTATTAAAATAAACATTGTTAACTCTACATTCAGTTTCCATCATCTCCGATGGAGCCAAAATTTCACCATTTTTTGGCTTTGGGGTGTGATGGAATAAATCAAAATGGATCTCTAAACTATCTGCACTTCTTTAATTAATAAAGTAGCAGTTAGTCAAGTAATGCAACTTTCGACATTGAGTCGGGGGTCTCTTTGGAAATAGTCTCTCTACTTTTGAGTAGGGGCAAGGTCTACGCACACACACCCTCCCCAGACCCTACTCTTGTGGGATTTAACTGGGTTGTTGTTGTTGTTATTTTGACATTTTTCATCTGTAGTATTAAAAATAATGTGAGCAGTATATTTTCTTTATTCCAAAAAAATAAATTTCATTAAAATAATTCAGAATCGACATAAATTTCGTTCAATCCCGTGCATGGCACGGGTCAGAATTAGTATAAGAAAAAGATAGAGATAAAGAAAACGTAATTTAAATACGGAGTAAATTGAATTTAAATTGATTTAGATCCAACTTCAAATAACCGACTTAAACCTTCTATAAAAATTCAATTAACGACTCATCGATCTCATCGGTGTAAACGATGCGGCGGGAGATTGTGAAGGAGGATCTAGCGGCGGCGGAGGAGCTCGGGGTGGCGGGTTTAGCGGTTCTGTTACCAGCGGAGGAGGCGGGGGAGGATCGCGAGGTGGCGGCGGAAGTAGCAGCGATGAACAAAGTGGCGGCGGCGGTACGAAGAGCCGTAGCGGCAGAGGCGGTACTGTAACGAGCAGCAGAGCCACGGCGGTGGGCCGATCGAATGCTTCCAGCCGCAGACGTCCATCCACAGTGGTATTAGGACTATAGGAGGATGGACATCCGTAACAATGGCGTTCCTGGCTTACAATTCAGCGATTCGGATCCCAATTTGAATCCGCAGATTGGTACGTACTCACCAAATTATCGATCTGATGACGGTTTTTCAAATTCTCAGATCTATGTACGTACTAAATATGTTACTCCGTATTACTCTAACATTGTGACGATTTTCAATTGGTTTTCAATATTTGAGGAGTATCCGAGTAAGTTAATTAGTTTAATAATTAATAAAAAAGGCTAGGCGAAGGAGGAGATCTGATGGAAGAAGAAGGGTTGTGAGGATTCTTTTAATAATCTTTGTTTAAGCGGCTTGGTTCCATGACATTGGATTAGCCTCATAGTCTACTTTGTTCTGTTCGAAAAATTGATAACACCTAGCCTTCTAACTTCTTAGATAAATTCACATCCCGACCCGATCCGAATGCACTCCTTCATCTGTTCATCTCTCGCATGTTCACTCATAAAAGCATTAATGGACTTTGAAAGCAAAAAAAAATGATTATGCTCTACTTGAACATTCTATGCCTTCTAACTTCTTAGATAAACTCACATCCCGACCCGATCCGAATGCACTCCTTCATCTGTTCATCTCTCGCATGTTCACTCATAAAAGCATTAATGGACTTTGAAAGCAAAAAAAATGATTATGCTCTACTTGAACATTCTATGCCTTCTAACTTCTTAGATAAACTCACATCCCGACCCGATCCGAATGCACTCCTTCATCTGTTCATCTCTCGCATGTTCACTCATAAAAGCATTAATGGACTTTGAAAGCAAAAAAAAATGATTATGCTCTACTTGAACATTCTATCGACTATATATTGAGATTATAAATTTATTTACCACCTTTTAGTCAGGCAACTGTTCAATTGTAGTTCAACTTTTCTTATTAATAAGTTTGAAATATATTTTTTTACGGAGTAAGTACTCCATATCTTTTGTTATCACTAATACTCATGATCCAATGCAGAGTGCAACTTTATTTTAAATATTTTAAAGTTTTTATCTCCTTTCTATTCTGAAAGCAATTTGTAGACAACAAATGGTTGCAACCCAAATGCCATTCTTGCCACTAAGCCCGGTAGTTTATGCTATTGAAAAAAAAGTTTAAACAAAACCGGAGTTCATAGAAATAAATGTATAAGCTAAGGCTTCCATAGGATTCTCTTAATAATCAAAGTCCAATTTACTTCCTCTTAGTGACCGTTCGACTGGGTCTGAGGCTCATCCTTTTTATCCAAAAACACCTAAATGGAGTAGTAAACTCTATTCCTCCTAGCTACTTCTCATTGGGAGGAAACATAAGAAACCTGCTTAGATAAATCCCACAAAAACATCAGAACACAAGTTCTTCATGGAAGTAAGTAGAAACCTGCAACAAGAATGTTGAATGGGCTTCAAATGCAATGGGAGTGAGCTCAAACAGAGATGATGTCTTAGCTTGAAGAGGGATGTTCAATTCATATACTGGGAAATTTTAAGGCACTACAAAAACGAAGGAACTATTCAATCATAATGCATACAATAGCAATCAATTATCCCAACTGTGCAATTAAGAAGCACATGAATTTCCTCTATGGCCAAATGTTTGAGCTTTAAAATGTCCGAGCAGGAGTATATTAGCTTAGAATCAGATCCCTTTACAATGCCTAGCACATGGGTATTTATAGCTATAACTATTACAAAGGTAATAACTGTGATTGACACTCGTTTTTCGTATGGCCATTGTCGTTGCCCCATGGAGCTCCATAGCTGCCCGTGAGATTCCTTTGTCATCTAGCCTTTGTCCCATGGCCGAGCACAAGTATGACGTGGAGTTATCCTCCATCATCTTGTATTAAAAGAAATGGGTGATATAGCACTGGTGAAAACTGGTCTTAGAACTCAAGAATGGGGTAAAGAACAATTTTATGTTTCCATTTGATGTTTTATGCATTTATATAAAACCAGCTAAATAATCGATAATGGCAAAGGAGATGGTAGACCTGGTTGATTTAGGGAATTAGAAGAGAAAAAAACAATTGTGAACCTAATTCAATGGTATCTAATTTTGGGGTTCTGCTGATTGCCAGGAATAAGACTACTGAATCCTTATTTGGTTCTGCTTTTAAAATAAGTGTTAGACACAATAGACAATGTGGAGGCGTTTTGACTTGTTCATCTCACATTGACAATGCAACTTTATACTGTGATACTATTTAGTAGGTTGGGTACCTCAATTTCTTAATTCAATTTTTAGGGTTGAATTGGACGCAACTCTATTGTTTCAACATGGTATCAGAGCGAAGTCATTGATGTTGGAACCGCGCCTGCAATATTGTGCTACTATTTAATAGTTTTGAAAATCCGCCCAAATGGATCCAATCAAACCCTTCCGATTTGCTGGTCAAACCCTTCAGGTCCAGCTCTTGTGACCCACGTGGAAGTGTGATAAGAATCGTGCGGTTAAACTACCCAACCATTTTTTTCATTTGTGGATTAAAAAACAAAAAAACTAATTTCCATTAGGATTCAAATAAAAAAACCTATTTCTTTTTTAACATTGGAAAATATTTAGAAATATTTCTAAATAGGACTAAAATATAGAAAAAAATACTAAAATAAGACCTTCATGATTTTTTTCTCGAAATATAATTTCGTACTGTAGTAATGTGGCACTGTACATGTGCACATTATTATACTTTTTTGGTAATGTACATAACCATGTTTGGTGATGTAAGTCTTATTTCTGTAAAAAAATGTAAGTTCTATTTTGGAATATATCAATGTTTTAGTCTTACTTTATTCTTTTTCTTAAAAATATTTTCTTAATGTAGTACTTAAATTTTTTTTATTTCTTAAATAGTACTAGAATAATGTATAATGACAGAAATAATGTTCAGCAATGTTGGACATTTAGTTTGAATAATGTCTAGTGCCAGTGGACATTTACTTGAACAATAACCAAAAAACATGGAACAATGGTACTACATTAAGAAATAAAAGCATATGGTACTCAAAAAATATTTGAACAACAGAATTACCTCTTATTTTATAAATTTTCTACTACTTCCGTCCCGCTATATTTGTCCACTCTTGACTTTTGGAACTGTTCATCTAAGCACTTTGACTCATCAAATTCTCTCAATGTGTAAGCCTAAATATAGTCATGTGTGATCTTGTTTGATTTGTTTTAACATATAGATTATTAATATATAATTTCTATAATTTTTTAATATACAAATTACAAGATAAAATGGATTAAAGAAGTGCATTGGATGGTGTGTAAAAATGAAAGTGGACAAATACTCTGGGATGGAGGGAGTATATGGGTTTAAAATATATAAATTTTATTTTTATGGCTTAATGTCATTACTCAAATAAACACTCGTACATTATTATTTTAGTCTAGCATCATATATTATTGCATGTATGTGTGACAATGTGTATGTATATGTGAGAATCGATGTCATTCATTAAATTTTGAAATATTTGTGTAAAATTATAGTACAACTTTTATGTTTTTCATATAAAAAATGTGAATTTTTCTACTCTGAAAACACGTACCTTTTCTACGAGTCATGGTGGATGAAGAGTGATGCAGGTGTTGTTCTCAATTAAGTAGAAAACCCAAACTGATGAAGCCTATGAATTTTACAAGGTTTGTATGCATATGCAGTTTGGGGTTGACCAATTAGGACACTCCACCTCACCATGACGTGTCAAAGTGTCTAGTGTGAATAATGACGTTCACTAAGATGATATATACACACGATAAATGTACAAAAACGTACATTACATATTTAAATTTATAATACATTACTCCAAACAAGGACAATAATGAGTTTTTTTTATTTAAATTTAGAGTTTTCTTAAATATTTATCTAGGTGATCATTCAACTGAGTGACTTTTTAACTCTTTAATTATTTTTACATTTTCTAATTCCTTCTAGTTTCTTTTAACTTATTCTAGTTTCTTGTAACATCAAACATTGAATTTCAAACCAAAAAACAAGGTCTAGTTATATTAGAAAACCCGTATGATGAGCACATCAATATTATTCTCCAACTTATACATTAAGTGTGTTACAGAAAAATTTCAAGAGCATTCAAAGTTACAAATACCTTTTACGATTCAAGTGGTTTATAAGTAGTGTTTTCAAATTTAGTTTAGAACGGATGAATTGAAGCGTAATATTTGATACAACCTTTAATAAAAAATAAAGTAAATTTTAATGTTTTGTAATTTGTTGATCTGGTCTGAAATTTTGGATATCCAAAATCTCAATATACAATGATTTCCATATCGAACGTGGAATAATTTTAAAGAATTTCAAGTGTTATTTGCATACTTGTTTTCATTTGAAGGACTTAGGACCTGTGTAGTTTTTTCTTAATATTGATGTGCTCATTCCTTACCGAGTATAGATTTAAGCCAACACATATAGACATTGGATATTTTACATGAGGCATGCCTTTTTACTTGTAAACTCAAGCGATCGTGAAATTTGCGATCTTGCTCACTACAAACATATTGTTGCACGTCTCTTATACTAGACCATTACGTACATATCCTCATTTATGTTACTCTATCAATGTTCTCTCTCATTTCTTATAGGCTCTATATCTTGATTATTTACACGCAGCTATGTGTGTCTTGCGCTACATCAAAACTCATCTTAGTTATAGAATTCGTATAGACAGTGAATAACCTACAAATATAGTGATTCAAACTGGATCTTTTGTTAACAAGAGATGCTCTGTCAGTGAGTACTAAAATTGAACCTCTTTTTTGTGACACCCAATATTTTATTAGTGCATGAAGCAAATTAAATTAATAATGATTGCGATATTGATCGTATCGTTATTGCATTCAGCTCATTTTATCCTTATTGCATCCAGCTTGCAGACTTGTTCACTAAAGTTTAGTCTCGACCTATGTTTAATTTTTTTGTTATCCCAGTTATGCATTCACGATATTCGTGCATCAACTTTAGAGAGAATTATGGTTAAAGAATTGTCCTTAGCTTTGTGTGGATACATTAAGACATGAGTTATCTGACACGAATAGCTTTTGTTTGTACAAAATTATGGTATCAAAATGGTGTCAAAGTGTGGTGTCAAAGTGAGGTGTCCCCCAGCGAACTAAAAAAACCCGTATAATTGTATTACTTTTCTCTAGATATAACCATGGAAGAGCTGGATGACACCAGAGGTCAATGTCCTGAGGCTTATGTGATCCAATGACACTCCTTTAAATTGAAGCACATATAATTTTTATTTCTTAAATTGATAATTTATGTCATTCTAAAACGTGAATGGTGAAACAATTTTTATTCACAATTTCTTTAAACATTTTTTTAATTATTTTTTTTAAAAAAGAGCATGCATACATATACTCCGTACTTCATATTTCTTCTACTACTTCTTTAAAAGCAAAAAGGAGGAATCAATTGACAAGTAACACTCCAAATTCCAATTGCCGTTCTATGCTGGAGGAATATGAGGAGAAAATGACAAAGCGATTTAACGGCCCAAAAGGAGACGGCGAGCAAATTAAGGTGTGAACTGCGCAAGAGCCTTCCCAGTCAAGTCAACACGGCAACGTTATCACTGACAGATGTCATCCGCAAAATGACGCGTTACCATAAATAACACTTGTCGTCCTCCAATTGGTTAAGAAGAGTTAGACTAGTAAACTCACTCTCCATTTTTTGATAACTGATGTGTTTGTACTCGCGCTCTCCTAAACACGGTTACGGTTGGATATTTCTAAATATGGGTGAACACCGTTTTGAAATCGAATCATATTTAAAAAGATATGAGAATCGATACAGTGGCGGAGCCAGGACCCAAAGCCAGTGGGTGCAAGGTAGGTCCATCCCTCTAGTAGCGGCGAGAGACATAAAAATACAACTTGGTCTCTTTGGTATTTTGTCAAACACGGTGCAAGAAAGTTTGACAAATGTTGAATATCATTTGCATCATTATTTTCGAGAAATGCAGGCCAATTTTCTTTTAGTGTTCAAACAAGAATAGAAATTCCAGACTCCATAGCAATTTTGAAATCAAAATCCACACGTACATCTTTATTAATTGAACTCTTGCAAAGCTATATATGTATGTATATATACACTAATATACAAAGTAGAGTGGGTGCGATTGCAGTCAGTTGCACTAATGTGGCTCCGCCACTGAATCGATATATCTCGGATTCCAGCAAATCGCCAATTACCTTATGTTAAATATATAAGAAGTGTTATTATGTTCTTAAGATTTAAATGTAAAATGTGGATCTTTTCATTTATCTTTCATTAGTTCATAATTGAATCTCTTTTTTTCATTTTATAGGGTTCATAATCAAGATCCACAAAATAGCTATGGATCCAAAGTCTATAAAAAGTTACGCAAATGTTAACATTCTATACTACTTGGAAATATAGAATATATATATCAAACTTGATCAAAACATTTTTTTTACATTCTTATTGATCATTTGAGCTATAGATTGCGCTGACTTATTCTAAAACAGTTTCTTAAAACTCAATCACAGAACCATTGACAAAACGTACAAATTTATTCTGTTTTTATTTGTGAGTGTGAACATAACGGTTGGTGTAGCTTGGAAGAAATAGGTGATGTAATGGGTGGGGGGAACACCAAACACGAGAACCAAGTGAGGTTAACGTGGGTTAAGGGGAACCCTCAAAGAAAAGAAAAGGAAGGGAAAAGGAGGGGGACAAAGTAACCATGGTTAAGGAGTCCCTTATAAAAAGCCCCCTTGTTTCACTACCACAAAGCCCCCTCAAAAGGTGAGGCCGAGAGGTAAATCAAAACATTCACACACCATTTCTTCCTCACACTCGCACACACCTCACTCTGTTCTTCCCCCCTTTCTTCATTTCCCCTGCTTTTTTTGAACTGTTTTTTTTTCATGATTTTTCTCTTTTTCTTTTCATTTTCTTCATCAAAATCATCATAGAGAGGGCTTATTTGTCGTCCCTCGAAGGGGTTGTTATTTGAAAATCCCAGTTTTTTTCTTTTTAGTGTTTAAGTTGTTCTTTTTTTTTGTTTCCCACTCTGTTCTTAATTTTTGGTAAGAAACAGGTGGCTTTTGTTTGATTTTTTTTACTCGTAGTATATAAGTATTTTTCAATGTGGAGAAATAGTTGTTCGGCAGTAGGTGAACCGTTCAACGGCGGCGGCGGCGGCGGCGAGCTAATGGAAGCGCTTGAGCCTTTTTTGATCAAGACCGCTTCTCCCCTTTCCCCTCATCCTCCTCCTCCTCAGCCGCCGCCTCCGCCGGCTTCTTCTCCTTTTCTCTCTGAAATATCCCCGTTTTACCCTCCACCCCCATATTCTTTCTCTTCTCCCTCCATTTCTTACCACCCTGTTAGGAGCTCTGACGGAGGAGGATGTTCCACCTCCGGCGCCGATTTGCTCCCCCAGCCGATTTCGGGTTTTGGGTTCGAGCAACCGCGCGGGATTGGGCTGAACCAGTTGACGTCGGCCCAGATTCAGCAGATCCAGGCTCAGGTCAATCGCCAGCAGCAACAGATGTCAGATTTTGGGCCGTTTCAAGCCCAGTGGTCCAAGCAACCGGCCCATAACCTCAGCTTCTTGGGCCCCAAGGCGGTTCCCATGAAACCGCAGCCGGCGACGAAGCTGTACAGAGGGGTTCGGCAGCGCCACTGGGGGAAATGGGTGGCGGAGATCCGGCTGCCCAAGAACCGTGCCCGCCTCTGGCTGGGAACCTTCGACACGGCGGAGGAAGCCGCCATGGCTTACGACGAGGCGGCGTTCCAGCTCAGGGGCGACTCGGCGCGGCTCAATTTCCCGCACCTCCGCAAGAACGGCGCCGGGCTCGGGGAGTTCCGGCCCCTCCACTCCGCCGTGGACGCCAAGCTCCAAGCCATCTGCAAGAACATGGCTGAGGGGCAGGGCGTTGACCCGAAGAACTCAAAGCGGTCGTCGCCTTCTTCTTCTTCATCATCGAAGCGGCAGCGCAAGGTGAAAGAAGAGGCGGTCGCCGGAGAAGAAGAGGAGGAGGACGGCAAGGCGGCGGATGAAGGGGGTTACTACAGTTACGGGTCGGGCGGGTCTTCGCCCGTTTCGGATCTAACGTTCCCGGAATTCACGGGCGAGGAATCAACAACTTGGGACATGTCATCGGATTTACATAAATACCCCTCGCATGAGATTGACTGGGCATCTCTTTAATTTCATTTTGTAAAATATAAAATTCGAAAGTAGGTAAAAAAGAAATTAAAGACAGGTGAGTTGTAAAAGGGGGCCCCACTGCAATGGAGTTTTTGGCAATTGCAGCGAAGGCTGGCCGCCCTAATAGATCATTAATTAATAATTAGTCCCTCCGTTGTGATTAATTATACTCCGTATTTCGTTTTATTTATGTGTGTACCTGTCCCATTGTTAATAGAATAATAGACCAATCATTTTTTTGTTTTGTTATTTCTTCATTTTTGCTATCCTTAAGCTTAATTATACCCTCCTTTGTTGGTTAAATTCATCACATTTAAAATTTAGAAACGCGATATTAGATGTAAGCTACATACCTTTTAAAATAGGTAAATTCTTTTGTTGGTTTAATGTTCATGTTCATTTTACGGATCTTAATGCATATGTAGGATTTAAAAAAATAGCCTCATTGCAAAAAAAAAAATCTTCATGTAAATCCATGAAAAATAGGTTCACACTCTCAAGACCATGTAAGAAGCATCACTCTTTAAAATAAAGTTGCCTATTTAACATAAAAGAAATGCTTAATGAAAAGGGGTTTGTATTTAGCCACTTATTACACTTTAAAAATAGAAATAATAAAATTTATATGTTCGAATTTTTTTTAAAAAAAACAGTTATGAAAAGATTATAATAAAATGTAGTTTAACTCAGATTATAAGAAAAAATTTAAAGTTTGAATCTTTTGTCAAACTATGCAGTACTTTGAGCACAGTCTAAATATGAGTTTAAATAATTAAATGTGGAGTATAATAATTTGATATATTGCAATTCTTTTTTTAATCAAATATTACTTCTCGGATCGGTTTTTTTTTTCAATTTAAATAAACATTACAATTTAACTTTCATTACAATTTTATTTATTCCGTAATTGATTCTACTAGAAAGTGTATATTTCCTTGCATAACCTCCTTTTAGCTCACAGTTCAATTCTTTTTAAAAGCGAGCTTTTTTAGTACTAAGAACTCTATAATAATTGCAATATTTGTTTTTATTTATTTTCCCAATTTAATAAAACATTGGGATTATTATCTCCAATAGAGATAGACATTTAAGAAAGTCAAATTGGTATTATGAAACATGGTCTTTGACTTTTAAATGTTAGTTTAACGTAACTTATAACATTTCATTATATAGGTACGTACCTTAATTGTATTTAGGGGCTGTTTGTTTCAACCTCTTAATGGTTCAGATGTCTGAATGGTTCAGCACTTAATGGTTCAGACTGTTTGTTTCAGCCTCTTAATGGTTCAGATGTCTGAATGGTTAAGAGATTTGCCTCTAGATGGTTAAGTATTATACAGAGTCTGAATGGTTAAGACCTCTTATCAAAATTGATCAGACATTTGCCTCTGAATAGTTAAGCAATATACTAGCTCTTAATGGTTCAGACATCTTACTGGTTCAGCACTTAATGGTTCAAACCTCTTACTGGTTCAGCACTTATCTATTCAGAAGTTGCCAAACAGCCCCTTACACCAATGCAAGTTGAATTGGTCACTCGACAGATGGAAAAGACTTATAAACACCACAAAAAGACCCATCCAGTGCGTGAGCAAAATATTTGAACCGCCAGAAACAAAAGAGATAGAAATTGAATTAAAAGATGCCAACTTCGCAAAAAGTTGATATCGTCATGATTCATGAACGAAGGAATTAAACAATAATTTCAATAAAAGAATAAGTCCAAGAACTTGTTCTCTTTGCCTGATCTGATCTTATTATGGTCTAATCAAATCAGATCTTGTTTGATCTAGTCTAAGTTAATCTGAATTAATCAAATCTATTTGTAGTTATAATTAAAGTTATTTAAAATCTAGTCCGGCTTGATCTCAGAGATCTGATTCCAATAAAAATAAGTAATAAATAATAATAATAAGTTAAAAAAAAACAGGCTGTTAAAATTTCATTAGGTCGAGAACAACGAGTAGAGTATTAGAAATTCATCCTTCTATATATGCTGGTTGTATTTTATTATTTTTTTCAAAATGAAAAACCCGCAACACTCCCATCAAGTGATAACTAGTCAGACCTAGTAGACCAACGAGTCTTAGCATCTCAATATCTTGTTATAATTTGCCCCATGAACAACGAACAAAGTGTTGAATAAAATTAATCACTAGTATGAATAAGTCGAGATCCACTTCCTAACAAAAAAAACTTAAGCTAATAAGTAGATCCGTAGAAGTTTATCTTTCTATATGTATTTGTGGTATTTCATTATTTTTTTCAAGGAATTCCAACAATTTCTAAGCATTTAATGTTTTACCCCAATATTTTTCTTAATTTTATGAAACAAAAAATCTATAGTACCTACGGAGTAATTAATTTAGGGGCGAGATAGTAGAATTTAATAGCCCTATATATGGAAACCACTACTACCAACTAACCTATACTAGCTTGTCAATTAATTAGGCCTTCTTTTTCTGTTGAAATTTTGGCATTTGAGAACAATACTGCTTACTCTATATGTCAAGTGGGTACAACACAAAGGATATGATTCTTCTTTCTAAAATTGAAAAATATTAAACTTTTATTGAGAGTCTTCCTAATATAGATGCGAATTTGACGCTAAGAAAAAATAAGTTAAGTTTTAATCTCAATTTAATAAAAAATTAATGATTATTTTTATCACAATTTTTAGAAATCAAAATGAAATTTATAATTTATAGTACTACTCTTTCGACCAATTGAGCTAAGTTTTCCGGGCTATATCTAGAATCGAAGAAGTAATTGTTGGGCGCACTAAGCCTCAATTTCATTCTCAGGTCAACATTGGGAATAATAATGTTGTCCAACTTGTGTTTGCCCATTTGGTTTAATCCCTACTTCGTTAATTATAATGATATTATTATTATTATTATTATTATTATTATTATTATTATTATTACTACTACTACTACTACTATTACTATTATTGTTATTGTTGTTGTTGTTGTTATAATAATAATAATAATATTATCGTTCTAAATTCATTTTATCAAATTTCTATATATAGGAATTATTATGTGGTTAATTATTGTGCTGAAAATATTTTCTCTACTGGAAGTTGGTGCATGTGAATCTCACATTTTGCAAGACACTATTTTTTCTAGCTAGTGAAGAGGCATAACTTTAATTTGTGAGTGATTTTAATTTGTGAAAGGGATGGGCATGCTCCAAAATCTGCTAGAAGATTTGGAATTCAATTCCAAACCACTTTATTGAAAGAGAAAAAAAACCACTTTATATATATACACACACATATAGATTTTGCTCTTCTGGTTATCTTCTTACATTATGAAAAAGGAAAAAAACCATCCAACTAAATGTGTAAAAGAAAACTGTTTTTAGATTAAATAAAATTCATATTTCTCCGTACTTGAGTATTTGAGAGGTCCTAAACTATAAATTTGAATGTATATATGGTGGTATTGTATGTATATTCGTCACATATTCTTTTATAGATTATCCAATGTTCATTCATAGATTTATTTTTTAGATGCTAATGGCGATGAATATGTCAGCGATTATGATGATAATGATGATGGTGATGATGTAAATAATGATAATAATAGTAATAATAAGCATATTATGAAAAATATATCTAAATAAATTTTGTATAGTCCTTGTTGGATAAAGTAATTAATATACTCCCTCCGTTCCCAATTTGATTACAAATTCCGGATTACGGAGTAAAATTTTCTATTTATAAATTTTGTATAGTCCTTTTTAATAAGATATAAAAATTACATATTAAAAAACTACGTTAAAAGTTCTACAAAACAAAAGGTGACAAGAATATTTTATTTTATCAAATACTTAATGAAATCACGTAAACAAACAAAAGTTATCGAGAGGAGAGAGAAAAAAAATTACTCCCTCCGTCCCGCTATATTCGTCCACTTTTGACTTTTGAAATTGTTCATCTAAGCATTTTGACTCATCAAATTCTCTCAATGTGTAAACCTAAATATATTCATGTGTGATCTTGTTTGATTTGTCTTAACATATAGATTATTAATATATAATTTCTATAATTTTTTAATATACAAATTACAAGATAAAATGGATTAAAGAAGTGTATTGGATGTTGTGTAAAAATGAAAGTGGACAAATACTCTTGAACGGAGGGAGTATAATTTATTTAGGGACGGAAGGAAGAAGTAATAAACATAATCTGCACTCTGCAATGTACAAACGATGGGGGGGAGGCAATGCAAATAAGTCATAAAGTGGTGAGAAATGCTTCCATGAAATTCAATGCCTTTATTCATTTTGAATCTTTACTTTTGATTTTAATAACGTTTGAACCCGACCAATGCCTGCCTTTACACTTTATCTTCTTCTAATATTCCTCCTAAAATCAAACCTCTAGATCCAGTCTATCTCGGCCCCCAGCCGGTTCTGAGAGGACTCTCAGTGAAAGTTTAATCCTTTTTTTATCTTCTAGATCCAATCTATACATATAAGAGCAATGCTAGAGGTACAGTACCCCATTTGTCCCCCACCCTTTCTCCACCACTCATTTTTACCCCATTTTTATTTATTTAATTTTTTTATAGTCTCTTGTCCATTTTTGTGGTAATGGAGGGGGTGGGGGACAAATGAGATACACCTTTGGTATACCCCTAGCATTTTTCATACATATAAACCCTTCAACAATAAATACTCCCTCCGTCCTAAAACTTTCTTCCCACTTCTCCTTTTTCTCCGTCCTAAAACTATCTTCTCATTAGAAAAAAAAGATGACAAATGACATTAATACTCTCATGTATTTACACCAATTATCTTCGAACTCTATATTTTGAATGATTGCAAAAAAAATTCAAAAAATCTTTTTTAAGGAGGGTAAAATTTGAAGTCAAAGCTAAAAATTAAAAATGAGGAAAAGTCATACTGAGAAGAAAGTTTTAGAACGGGAAAGTAAGTAGAAAAACGAAGCACTGGAACGAATGAAGTAGAGACAAATAGGGCTCGCTTATCCTCTGATCCCTTGAACATCAAGCAACAGAATCCAAAGTTTACCAATGGATAAAAGGTGCTTTTTTTTAATATTTATCTATGGTTAAAACTAAAAGTCTGAAAAGCAATTATAACAAGTTGGTTAGATCGAAATGATTTGTTTGTAATTGAGTTATCTATTGGAGATTAAATGATTAAAGATTGCTTTAATTTAACGCAGAAATGCTCGTAGTGTCTTACATGGAGTCTTCGACACCACATTACCGCATGTAATGATCCTCAACGTTGTGCCAGTGATCGACAGTCAAACAGAATTCTAAATTTAAATCATTCTTTTACGTTCATATTTTCCATCATCTCCGATGGAGCCAAAATTTCACCATTTTTTGGCTTTGGCCTTTGGGGTGTGATGGAATAAATAAAAATGGATCTCTAAACTGTCTGCGCTTCTTTAATTAATGAAGTAGCAGTTAGTCAAGTAATGCAACTTTCGACGTTGAGCCGGGGGTCTCTTTGGAAACAACCTCTCTACTTTCGAGTAGGGGTAAGGTCTGCGTACACACACCCTCCCCAGACCCTACTCTTGTGGGATTTAACTGGGTTGTTGTTGTTCTTTTACGTTCATAAATTAGTGCAGTACAACAAATACAAAAAAGGCAGAAGAAATTTCTTTTAAGAATGAAAGAAATACAAAAGATTGATCTACTTCCTCTCCCTCTTTTTTTTTTTTGTGTGGTACAGTGGCCAAAAACCTGTGTAAACAACGGGTGGAAGCCCCGCGAAGAGACACCTGGCAGCATATTTCTGTGTCGCTCATTTTTGTGGGCGGGGAAAGGTGAGTGACCGATGTTGAAGGGTAAAAGAGTAGGAAAACGGCGCCAACCCCGTCAACTGAACTTACCAAGCTCCATCTTCTTCTTGATGGCCTTTTGGCCATGATATATGAATGAATCAATTATTCCAGACACCGTGAACACTCCTGAAGAATGGTCCACACAAACAGAACACATCTCATGAGCCATCATTGTACCACATGAACTTGAAAATGCAATGGATATTAGAATCATAATCATCCTTTCTATCTAAATGGTTTGCGTTTTGACCAAAATGTAACAGTTGACCGGCTTTCCAGACAAATCTACCAGAAAGAGATTTTTGGGATTACCTAAACCTAGATTAGCACACGAACGATTGTAGTGGTTTTCAGAATCACCTCTTTTCAAATATGCAAAACCAAAGCAACCATATTTTTAACGGTTCAAATCCTCGATTTGATAGCGCTGGAACCTTATATCATTACGTATAATGGACCAGTTCCGGTTTTAGTTTCAGAGCTGCCGGTTTTGGTTCAAGTTAAGAACAAAAACTTTCTCCACTTCTAGGTCTAAGTGGATGGAATTAGGCAGGTTCAGATCTTTTACAATAATGAAATGCATTTTTTAAAGAGACATGTACCTCCAACTATTGCACAAACACTTGTCAGAAAATGCAAGAATGAAACATGTTGCTCAGTGAAAGTCACCTACATCATCAATAAAACAAAAAAAAATTGGTGTTAAGAGAACCATGGTCGCCAATAGTCAATGAATATGTGAGAGGATTAGTGAATAATATTGCACCTTACCTTGATTGGTGAAAGGTCATAAAAGAAGAAAACTCCAGGAAGAGTCTGAAGTTGGCCAGCTGCTGATCCCTTAAAATGTTCAGTTACAGAGAACTGTAAAAGTATGACATACATCAGATGCATCAGTTCACATTCAGCAAAAAGCAGGAAGAACAAAACTTTGCAAACATTGCCCAACCTGATTTGTCTGTATGGCGTACCCGTTCACATCAGTGTACACAGTAGGTACTACCTGGAAAAAACACATACTACGTATTTATTAATCTGTGGAGGGAATAAGCGCTTATTTATTTACAGTATTTATTAAATTGTTTCATTCAATCATATTTCGGACTGTCACAAACAGGACAAAAACACTGTGTGAAAACAAATTCCCTCTTAAGCTCCTCTTACCACCCATGCCTTGTGAGGCTCAAGATGCATATACCCCTACCCTATTACTACAAATGTCTTAAAACTTCTAGGTACAAAATAAATACAGGAGTAGAAGTGTAGAACCATTAGTGGTGATGATCACTTACCCTTGACATTGACTTGCACCCACATCTTTGAAAAAAATCATATTACAAAGCTCCATCTATCTTTCTAAATCTTTTACAACCCCCCCCCCCTCCCCCCGAAGGATATTATCACTCCTTTTAATGAAGGTGGTGCTCATTTGGCATGAAACATTGCAACCATGTTTTTTGCATAGATTTATAGTGTAAATTATTTTATACAAGTAGTTTACACAATTTAATGCCACATTGCCACCAACTGCAACTCGTTGGGATTAAGGTGCTAATACTGATGATGATTAAGAAAATATACTAAAATAGTTTACTGGTCTTAATCTCAATCTTAGAGACTTCTCATTGGGTGACAGAAAAAAAATGATCTACAAGTTTCACTATGATCTACAAGTTTTATTCCTTGGGGAGGCTATGTCATCATTATGAGTAGGAGCAGAAAGTGCAAAAAGAGAAAGCATAAATGCATCACATAATGAAACATACCTTGAGAAAATATTGATACATCCCATTAGGGGTATGTTGTGTCCATTCCACACTGCAATTACGAAAAAGATTGGATATTAATTTTCACAGGTATGACACTGCAAGTATAAGATACTAAAAGGACAAAGAGAAAGCATATCGTGCTCATGAAATACGAGAGGAAGAAATACCCATCAAGAGGGTTCAGGGCCCCAGGGAAATAGTCTCCAAAAGCCAATCTATTGATCTTGTGGCTTATCTGTCTCATGATTTTATAGCATCTAAGGTTAAAACCAAATCAACAAAATATAAAACAAAAACAGAAAAAAATAGGAACAAGACACACACTTGAGAGTTCCATTCAAGAATTTAAAAAGACAATGAAATCAAGCACTATACGGCTATTACAATAACTTACATTGAAACTATCCTTCTGGAAAGCAAGCAGATCATGGACATGCACATTTGACTGTTGAAAGCTCTTTCCAGGTGCAAAATGGAAATTTCCAGCCACTTTGTTGACTTCCAGGAACCCATATATATTACACCCTTCACCGTCTTCTTCTTTGATTCTTTGAAGAAAACCTTCTCTTTTGCACTAAAACCACATGAAGAATGAAAAAAAAAACCAGAAAATGGTAACTATTAACGAAACATAAAAGTTGAAACTTTCCCATCCGTTATCAAAGGATATATCGATATCAAATGTTCAATCAATATAAATCCTTAAAATATGATTATATAAATACACACACACACACACACACACACACACACACATATATATATATCTGTGTGTGTGTGTGCACAAACTCAGCTCAGTACAGGTACTTTATCGCATAAACATCAAGGATTGATTTTCAAATATCTTAAGGCAGTGTTTGGGAACTAACATTTCATTTCAACTCTTGCATTTCAATTCCAAAATACGAATTCTTGAATTTCAAATGACAAGGGGAGGCATATGGATTTGCAATTAAGTTTTGTGATGAATTAGAGGAATTGGCTCGAATTCAAATCCAATTTTTTAAGATCCCCAAACGTGAAATTTGAGACAAATCCGGATTTCAAATCCAAACTTTAGTTCCCAAACATGCCATAAATTGATTTGATAGTTTATGGTGACTGCTATTGCCTTTATCTTCTTACTTATATATCAGAGAAATAATTGACGCTGACTACCTTCAAAAACCATGCACAGTACTACACTCTGAATTGCACTTAAAAACTGCTCTTTGATATAGATTTAAGCAGAGATACAGCAACTCAGTTTTTTCTTTTTTCGAAGATATGTAATGCGCCACATGGAGACGGGCAGTAGCTAAGAATCTAAATATACCAAATGTAAAAGTAAAACTGACCTGGTCCATCAAATCGGGATTTGATACCGCCCATCCCTTTTTTCTATAAGCTTCACGGACATCTTCACAAGAGTTGCAACAGTGGTCATCTGACTGCACAATTAAAATGATAATAGAAAAAAGAGTAATAAGTTAGTTCATTAAAGCAAACATTTTAAAGTTTTTGTAGTATAGCGAGATTAGCTACCATCCAAAATGAGCTTAGAGAAAAGGTTATGCCCTTGTATCAATCAAGTAGAATATGGTTCAGTTTAATTTGATGGGAAGCAAGACTATTAATAAAAATGATGTAATACAAAATATAAGAAATACATAAAAAATGTTCAAATATTTTCAGTCATATTAGCACTGGATGGGAGTAAAATTTGATGGTCTCAAAGCATGAGGTGTAATCTAAATTCAGAACAGTGGATAAAGGTGTAATTAATGAGATCTAAGCTCGATTGAGTTTCCCAAGTCTTAACAGCTAGCATATACTGAAAGGCACAATAGTGCCAACTACATAGATTTACAACACAAGCTACATTATATGTAGTAGAACATGCCATTATCGAAAGTTAAAAAGATACACACAGTTTCTGCACCATAACATGAACCACAGTACGTCTCATTGTGCTCAAGCCGGCCGCCATGTCTTTGCAAAGGTCTTTCAATCTGTGAGAACAATTACAGCAGTAAGAAGAAAAAAAGCAAGGAAGGGTTTCTGTCTAAATAAAAAAATTACATATTGGCTAGGAAAATTCAAAAGTTCCGTTTGAAAAAACAAAGCTTGTTTCTTGGATCTAATGTATTTTTAGCATAACAGGAGACAAAAAGAGCATTTTTATGATGTCACTTGTTTACTTACAAATTGATATGGGAAGTTTAGTCCCGCTCACAATAGGTTGTGGGAGTGGTACTCCGACACCACATTTTAATTTTGGTGAATTTCAACCTCTAGATTTGCAAGTAAACAAAAGAGTGGGAAGAGTCGCTTCCCCTCCTTGAGTTAAAGATAGTATAATTGTATTACCTACCCATTGAGTTTTGATAACCATAGTTATCATATAAAAACTGGGCATCTAATGTAACTCACCTTGGGAGCACCAATACCATCCTGCCTTGTGTCAATTACATTACCATGAGAATCTATCCTTTTCTTGATGATATCATGTCTCTGGAACACATAGAACCAGAGCCAGTTAGATTATGTAGAATAATACCATTAGCCTTTTTACTTCCCAACCATGTTTAGCAGTTTAGGTGATCCTCGTAACTAGTAACTACACGACTATACAATCATGAGCATTTTCTAAAAAAAATTTGTAGGAAGCTATGAGCAATAGTAAAGAGTACTAGTTACATAGTGCAGTATTTTAAGAAACCGTTAAGGCATTAATTACAATTCACAAATTGTTGGTATACAAACTACTTGAAGATTTTGCCCAACAGCTACAGAGGAAGTTCCACGGTTACCCTCAACCCAATATGCTAAATTTAATATTCACCTTTTCCAGATTAATCACTTTTGGTTCAAAATGGCCAACATCTCCTCACATGCAAAGAAATGGAATCAGGTGAGAATTGGCATTTTGGACCAAATGAGGTCATTTCCAAAGTCTAGTACTAAATTTAGTCAAAGTGATAGGTAAAGATTATACATTTATACATATAAGGTGATATAACTACAAATTCCTCTATAGTTAACAGGCTATTCATGTATAATTTTTCAGTAGAAGATATATGTAATTGTTTTCCAAGACAAGGTAATATCATCTAAGGGGGAAAGCAGAGGTTACAGTGTGTTGCTAATAAAACATTACTCGTATAAAATGTAATGGTATATAAAAGTCTACATACAACGTCAAGGTGTTGCTCTCCACTTATATCCATGGCATCAACACTGATTATTGAACATGGAAGGGCTGGAAAGGTAACATCAAACTGCAAAAGAGTGGAATGGCTGATTTTTTAACATGAACATAAGAAGGCTTTTTACGCAAATAAGAAGTTACAGAGAACACCATCTAAAGAAAATTTGCAAAAACATATATCAGGGTTTTGGCACAATGAAAAAAGCATATCCGAAGTTCATTCAAACTCTGGAACCAAAAGCATCGTGAAATGTCATTGGTTTAATATTAGTACTGTGATACACTAAATCAAAGCCCTGACATTTCAAACCCTAGCACATTGTACTGTACTTCACAAAAATGAACAACATCATACATTAATACGAAGTGTTTCTCCTCTTGAAGTGTCAACGACAAGCTTTGTCTCAGTTACAGCATGGAGATATAATCCTGCAAAGAGTTGCAACATATGAGACACTAGCACACTGCAAGAGAGGTTGGCTATATAGCTATACAGGATCATGAAATTCTCCTATACTGAGTCTAAAATGCTCTGAAACAATAGCATCTTAGCTACATGCAATATGACTTACTCCCTCCGTCCCCCAGTTTTTGTCCACTTTCATTTTTGCACACCATCCAATGCACTTCTTTAATCCATTTTATCTTGTAATTTGTAGATTAAAAAATTATAGAAATTATATATTAATAATCTATATGTTTAGACAAATCAAACAAGATCACACATGACTATATTTAGGCTTACACATTGAGAGAATTTGATGAGTCAAAGTGCTTAGATGAACAATTCCAAAAGTCAAAAGTGGACAAAAACTGGGGGACGGAGGGAGTATGAGCTAAGAGTCTCATGGGTGATTTTAGACCATGTTCTAGCTTCGATTAAATATTAGACTTAAGGGCTGTTTGGCAACTTCTGAATAGGTAAGTGCTGAACCAGTAAGAGGTCTGAACCATTAAGTGCTCACCAGTAAGAGGTCTGAACCATTAAGAGCTAGTATATTGCTTAACTATTCAGAGGCAAATGTCTAATCAATTCAGATAAGAGGTCTTAACCATTCAGACTCTGTATAATACTTAATCATTCAGAGGCAAATGTCTGAGCCATTCAGACATCTGAACCATTAAGAGGCTGAAACAAACAGTCTGAACCATTAAGTGCTGAACCATTCAGACATCTGAACCATTAAGAGGCTGAAACAAAAAGCCCCTTAAATCAAATGACACATTAAACTTCTCGTGCTTCTTAATTAACTATATTTTGGGTGGTAAATCATGGAAAATTTTAAACAATGATACATTGTGGGTGTTTCTTTGTGATTATAAGCTGATAAAAAATGCTTATAAGCTGTTTTTAACTTATAAGTCAGTTAATGACATGTTTTTCTGTGCTTATAAGCTGCTTATAAGCGAGAAGAAATAAGTAATCTTAAACTAGTATCTTTGTTTCTCTGATTTGACCAGATTATTTACAAAATTATCATGATGAATTTTCTCAAATGACTTAACTATAATTAAGTCATTTTACTTCCACGAAAAAAATATTTGGCTTACAAGTGATTACAAATAATCGAAAAAACACCTAGAGAGAAACACCCTCATTATCATAGAATCGTCTCAATGGCACCATAGAATCTTATTCAAGACATATTTAAAACAAACAATCACACGCATCAGACTCATAAAAACGTAAGGAGACATGGATGGAGGAACAAACTGAGCTCGGAAATGAAGAGCAAGAGCATGACTACGGATGAAGCGAGGGTGATAACGCCGCCGGAGAGAGTTCTGCTGTAGAAATCTTCGTTGATCTTCGGATACGCATCCAAACTTCGAATCCTGCCCATTAACTTATCCATGTTTTTTGAAAATAAATCCCCCTCCGCCGTTACCGGAAACCAAAAAGAGGGATTTACTTGAGATCTCAAGTCGGAGAATGATTGGGAAAAAAATCGACGATCATAAAGGCTTAAACGCCCCGTCGATTGATCTCCGATTGCCGACGGAGGCGTTTAAGTTTCTCCTCCTTCCTACTTTATTTCCTCCTGAATTTTATTTTAAATTATTTTTTTAATGATTATGAATGAATTAAATTTCTGGACAGTTTTACTGATATGACGCATTTCTACCGCTCCTCTGCTTTGTCACTTGTATGGTTCTATGCAGCTCTTGATTTTCGGCCATGAACAGTCATCGGGCTTTACTATATAGAGCATCTAGGCCCAATCATTTGGATCAAATATGACCGACCCGTCATTCTGGACTCCACTTAAACCATAATGGGCTATTGTGATTTTTGTTTTTTAACTCAAGACAGACCCAAAACAAATTTATAGTCATGATTATCTCTTTGGACTGTTTGGACTTGTGTAAAGAAATTCAAATATACTGTTTGGGCTGGTGTAAAGTAGGGGTGAAATATGAGCGGTGCAATATTGATTGGTGTTATTTTTCCATTGTGAAATTTGCACTGAATAGGACTAAAACATAAGTCATTTCTCAATGTAGGACTTAAACTTTTTTATTTCCTAAATAGTACTTAATAATGACTTGTGAGAAGAGTAATGTCCAAGTAATGCTGGACATTAAGTTGAATAATGACTAATAGATAATGACCAATGGTCCTACATTGGGAAATAAAAACATATGGTCCTATATTGAGAAAGTCATTATGTTTTAATCCTATTTAGGTAAAGAAATAAAAACATATGGTCCTATATGGTCCATGATTTTACATTGGTGTTAAAGAAATTTCATGCCTTCATTAGTTACCACTCAATGCTTCTACTATAAGCACTAGTGGATTTATTTATCTGTTAAATATATTTCGTATGTCCAACAATAAATTTTCAAGTTACTATTACACGCTCTCAATAACTTATACTCCTTCTGTCCCCTAGTTTTTGTCCACTTTCATTTTTGCACACCATCCAATGCACTTCTTTAATCCATTTTATCTTGTAATTTGTTTATTAAAAATTATAGAAATTATATATTAATAATCTATATGTTAAGACAAATCAAACAAGATCACACATGACTATATTTAGGCTTACACATTGAGGGAATTTGATGAGTCAAAGTGCTTAGATGAAAAGTTTCAAAAGTCAAAAGTGCACAAAAACTGGGGGACGGAGGGAGTATTTGTTTGCATAAGTTCATCAATCATTTAATAAAAAAAAAATATTATAGTCACATCTTATTTTGCACTCTCTCTGTTCTTGAAAATAATTTCGCCCTAATATTTTACACATCCCAAAAATACTGTTACTTCCACCTAAAATATCTATAATACATCCCATTATGTAGTTTATTGCTGGTAGAAGGACGTATTTTAAAGTAGAGTAAAAGTATTTTGTGGAGTGCGAAAAAATTAGGGTGGAAGTATTTCCAAGAACGGAATGAATAGAATTTTGATGTGGTTTTGAACAATGTAATTTATACTCTTTTATGATGTACCAATTTGTAAATAAAGTTATTTTTAAAATTGTTAAATTTTGCACGTCGTTCAAAATGAGAACTTTATTATTGGACAGAGAGAATATATTTTAGATGACAAATTCTATGGTGGACCTTAGGTCCAACATGAATGTACATATGAACAAAATAAGCATTTCCTTACTACTTTAAAAAGTATATATTTTTTATATAAAAAAATGTGATAATACCCACAAAAATAATATGCACACAAGGTGCACCATAGAAACACTCATTATAGATTCATGATTTATCATAATATTCGTCACAGTCACTCAATAAGCTTTAATGGCGTTACTAGATTATATTGATGAGTAATTTACCTAAATAGGATTAAAACATAATGACTTTATCAATATAGAACCATATGTTTTTATTTTCCAATGTATGACTATTGGTCATTATCTATCAGTCATTATTTAACTAAATGTCCAGGATCACTTGGACATTATTTTTCTCAATAGTCATTATTAAGTCCTATTTAAAGAATAAAAAATTGTAAGTCCTACATTGGGAAATGACTTATATTTTAGTCATATTCCGTACAAATTTGACTATATTTTTTGATATTTAGGCCTCCAAAAATGATCTCCACATTTTTATTTTATTATTCCAACAAAATTTGGAAGCCAAAAACTGGTTGGGAGAGGGCACACATAGCAAGTGGGAGGTGCACCATCAACTGGGGCTAAAAAGTGAGGAACGACGTCGTCAGACTGTGACTGTCCGTCTAAAACGTTTCAATAATAAAGAGAGCATCTGATGCATCATTTTAAACAAACTACTACGTTTGCAAGTTGTTCGTGTTTTTATTAACAAAAATAGTAACGAATTTGCCCAAATGATTATAATGGGGCCGGCCCAAACTCTCCAAATATGGGAATTACAACTATGCACCGCGTGGACTGTGGCCCATTGGACAATAAATATAGTACTCCCTAATATTTGCCTCTGTACCTCCTAAATCTTCCTTTTTTTTGTCTTGCTTTCACATTTCTCGGTCATCTCCTCTATTAGAATATATACTTTCGGTGTCACACTTTTGAAATACCCCCTACCTCTTCAATTAATATCATCATCATTTTTCTGTTTTGACTTTTGGAATTAAAAAATGTAAAACTTTGACCACGATAAAACAATGACAATTGAAAAGAGCATGACACGAGAAATGTCAAAATCGATAGGGTGTAGAAGGTAGTTAAGATATGTTCGATTATACTTAAGGAAAGAAAAAAGATAATTGTGTCCATTTGGTCCAAATTAAAAATGTTTTATATGACAAACAAAACGTTAAAGTTGAAAATTTTTACGGGACGGAAGAAGTAATAGGTTAGATATGATTTGGTTGGGTAAAATAAACTTTTTAATAGAAAATCAATGTTTTTTGTTCAATAAAATAAAAAAAATGAGAGATGAGACATTTTAAAACAAGATAATACCCGAGAAATCTTGGTTAAGAATTCAATTTCTCTCTCTTTTATATATTTTTTTTGGGAAAAATGATACCCTTTGCATTTTGGGGGCATGTGGAAATAAAAGTTGGACATGACAACAATAGTAGTGCGTGCATAACTTCGTCGATCATGCGCGCATAAATAATTACGGAGTATATACCAGTTAGTAGACGGAGTACGGGGGTAGTCTTCCACCGATTCTTAAGTATTACGAGTATACGTAGTGAATATAATTCTTTCCCTTCATAAAAATATATCCCATAATTAAATTGATATAAATCCCAAGAAAAAAAATTATATAATTAAAAATATTGTAGATGGGAGAAAAATAATGAGCCTAAAAAATTGTTTATAAATAGGAAGAAGAACCTATTACTAGTATTTGTTCACACATTTTCAACATATCAAAGTTTGTAGACACTATGGTGTCACTAGTCTTTTAAGAAACATATTGTGCTCGTTCGTAACTTGTAAATCTCTACCTGGCCCTTTCCCTATTTTTATTAAAAAACTACTTTTACATTTACACATCAATGATATTTTTGGAAAGCTAATACAAAAATATCTCACTCATAGATACCTTGGACTGGAGGTATCCAGCCCAACAAAATAAGTGGCCCAACAAGACTCATCTAATTGAAGGTTTCGGTTGCGCTCGGCAAAGGGCGTCCTGCTCGGCTTAAGAAGGACTTTAAAGGAAACCAAGGCCTCAAGGTAACAACCGTACTCAGACATGTATTTCTTCTCAGCTCGGATACATCAACTTGGATCCTGGGGCGGACCCGGTCCGGTCCTTACTCGGATGTCTTCCAATGACAGAGCATGCGCACTCGGCCTCTGCCGCTAGCTAAGCACCATGGGTTTACTGTGTGTGGGAGCCTGGATGCCTTGTCTAATCAACGAGTCCATGATGGGACACCCTGATACGATATTCTGTACGATTAGTTGTAGCCACACTACTGTCTGTACGTTACTTGTAGCCACTCTAGTTTGTAATCATATTTCTTGTATTGTCAATCAAAAGGGTTGATCTCGGTGGGCCCGGCCACTATGTTGTAGACTAACGGGTGGGAAGCTCAGGCATCGAAGAATGCATTGTATAAATACTCCTCCTCTGAAGGAGAGAAGACACGTTCACATTTGCTACCAAGTTAATATATTTACTCTACTCTTGCAATCAAAAGGTACTTGGTCCTTGTTCGATACTTTTCTATCTAGTCTTCTAGGTCCCGAGTTATAAAGCTCATTACTCACATTTAAATTTCCTAAAAGTAAAAATGAAAAGATAAAAGCAGCATGTTTTGTTTTGAGTTGCCTTGCAAGTTGCAATGATTTTTGCACAAACATGGAGAAAGAGAGGAGAAGGGAAGAATTACGGAACAAAACAAGAACAATAATACGGAGTACAATAATACGGAGTAGCAGTGAAAGGACATATATAGACTGTACCATACTATAATGCACTCTACTATATTAAGGATTAATTAAAGTACGGATCGGAGTAAAAAGTACTTCCTCCTCCTCAAATTATTTGTCACATTTCTATTACCGAAGAAAAATATCAAGTTTTTTCAATTCATTTTATTTACATATTGGTAAAGAAATAAAAAATAAAAATTATATATAAAAAAACTACATGAAAAGTTCTTCGAAATAAGAGGTGTCAAGAATATTTTATTTTATCAAATAAACAATGAAAACGTCGAAATAAACAAAAGTTCCCGCGACTGCTGAAAAAGCAAATATTATGAATATTTAAGGACGGAGGGAGTATAAACCATTTTCAATTACCCTACCTGCCAATGATTTTTTATTACTCCTTTTTTTTTCATTTTGAAATTCAATCTAAGCTAAAATGAGATCCCACCTAAAATGTCTAGAACATATACTCTATAGAAAAATTTACTCTAGTGTGTTTCCCTTAATTGAACCAAATATGTTTCATTACTTTTATGGCACGTATTTCAATTCAATATGATATGTTATATATGTCTTCATTAGCAACAAGTGTTAAATAATACTCCCTCCGTTCCTGAATATTTGTCCATTTTTTATTTTTTTTGGTCAAAATTGGTAAACTTTGATCTCAAATTAAATAAAAATGATATTAGACATTGATATAAAAATAATTTTATTAGATTTATTATATCAAGTATTTTTAAAATATTATTTCATCAAATTAATATACAATATATATTTTATTTAATTACAAGTCAAAGGTTGAAAACAATTGACTGGAAAAAGTCAAAACTAGACAAATACTCAGGGACGGAGGTAGTAACTGATTATACAAATGACTCTATGAATGTGGCCATTAGTAACAAATACTCCCTCCGTCCCACAAAAAAGTTCCCATTTTGAATAGTATTTAGTCAACTATTTACACGCTTTGATTATAAATTGTGAGAAAGGTATATTGAATTATAAAATAAATTTAATATAATTGGATTCATCTTAGGATCTAGTTTTGATATCTCAAATTTTTTTAGCATTTCTCTATTTAGATTATATTTAATTCATGGTCAAAGCGTGTAACTGTTTGATCAAAAGTACATCAAAATGAGAACTTTTTTGTGGGACGGAGGTAGTATTAGATAATATTTGATACTACCTCCGTCCCATATTATTTGTCCACTTTCATTTTACACACCATCCAATACACTTCTTTAATCCATTTTATCTTGTAATTTGTATATTAAAAAATTATAGAAATTATATATTAATAATCTATATGTTAAGACAAATCAAACAAGATCACACATGACTATATTTAGGCTTACACATTGAGAGAATTTGATGAGTCAAAGTGCTTAGATGAACAGTTTCAAAAGTCAAAAGTGAACGAATACTCCGGGACGAAGGGAGTAGTTCATATTTAGGGAAAATGATATGTTTAAGTCTTATTNGGACGGAGGTAGTATTAGATAATATTTGATACTACCTCCGTCCCATATTATTTGTCCACTTTCATTTTACACACCATCCAATACACTTCTTTAATCCATTTTATCTTGTAATTTGTATATTAAAAAATTATAGAAATTATATATTAATAATCTATATGTTAAGACAAATCAAACAAGATCACACATGACTATATTTAGGCTTACACATTGAGAGAATTTGATGAGTCAAAGTGCTTAGATGAACAGTTTCAAAAGTCAAAAGTGAACGAATACTCCGGGACGAAGGGAGTAGTTCATATTTAGGGAAAATGATATGTTTAAGTCTTATTTGCGTAAATTCTATAAACACATCATACATATCTAAAACCAGCACCGTTTCTAGCTCATTTGGGGCCATAGGCAAAATTAAGAAACTCTTTCTTTGTGATGGTGCATGCTTATTGCCTTAATGTTGATAACTAGTTTTTAACTTATAAACTGCTTATAAGTTAAAATATTTTTTTCGTATAAGTAAAATGGCTTATAAGATAGAGAATTCATTTGGAAATATTTATAAATGGTAGTGATGATTAGTTTGTAAATAACCTGTTCAAAATAAAGTTTTGAAAAAATTGACAAGGGCATACTTGGAAATTATTAATCTACCCATTACATCTACTTTTTTACTCATCACTTCTAAAGATATACTCTCTCCGTCCCATAAAGATGGGTACATTTTGACTAAAGTAGAAATTAAGGGAGGGATAATTTTGTGTTAACTTTCAAAAAATACCCTTGATGTGATGAGTAAAAGTATGATGTGATGTGTAGATTATTAGGAAAAAGGTTTGATGTGATAGGTAGGGTTTGAAAAAGTAAGGGGTAAAAGTGGTTTTTTAATAGAAATGTGTAAGAGATTATGGGATGCAATTTTTTTGAAACGTGTAAATCTTTTTGAGACGGAGGGAGTATTTGAAAAGTTTACACCAAAATATACTCTTTTTAAATCTTTTAAAAGTCAAAATCAAAAAGATTTTATGAGACCGAGTATTAAAAACGTATTTTGTGAAATTGTGTTAATAATAAAAGTGAAACCGTTTTTTAGATGGAAAGAAGTATTGCTTCTTTCTCCATTTTTTTGAACAACACTTTTCACGTCTATAAATTTGGCTCTTCCTCGTCCATTTCCACCACCATCCATTCTATTGTGTTTCTTAATATATGCTTTCATCTCTTCCCTTCAAACTTCCAAGTGAAGAAAAATGACTAACCATAATGTGGTGGTTTCCGATCCAAAACCCGGCGCAGCCTTGCCGGCCGCTGTGCCCGCCACTGCGGGGCCACCTGCTCGTGGCCGTTTCATTACCGCATTGTTTGAATCCATGAGGATAGTTAGTCGATCTCAAACTAATTAATTAATCTAATTATTTCCCACTAATTATCTCTTATTATAAGTATCACCCTTCCGTCCTAGTTAATTATCTCTTATATTTGGGTACATGCACAATATAATTTAATTAATCCTTAATTGTGATTCCTTTTTTTTTTAAATTGGTGAAAAATATTAAAAAAAAACACAGTCGAGTCATCCATCAGCTCTGGGCATGTTTGATGAAATAGTGAAATGTTCAAAAGGGAAGAAGATAGTCATATTTCTTGATTATGATGGTACACTCTCCTCCATTGTTGAAGATCCTGACAAAGCTTTCATGACTAACGAGGTAATTATTATATTGGCGCGGCACTTATTAATTAGCTGCGTTCTTTTTTATTTATTTATTTATTTTTTGAGTATTTTTTTTTCTGCTTTTTCTTTTTTTTTCTTTTTTTAAGAATGCACTCTCCATATATATATATATATATATATATATATATATATATATATATATATATATATATATATATATATATATATATATATATATATATATATATATATATATATATATATATATATATATATGAATAGATGAGAGAAGCTGTGAGGAGCATTGCAAAGCATTTTCCCACGGCCATAGTGAGTGGGAGGAGCAGGGAAAAGGTGAGTTTGTTTTAATCTCCCCTTTATCAAATACTCCGTATTTGTAGCATAAAAAGGAAATTGTGGCTTTAAATTAAATTGTTTTATATTTGTACCAATTCCAAACCTTTATAATTTTTATAATTTGAATTCCGTACACCAAACAAAGTCTAAAGACTACTTCAACTTCTTATCGAAATAAATATCTCATTTGAATTTTAGCTAAAACATGACTATAATATTTGAGTTTTACGTAATTTAAAAAGTAATGTTAAAACGTAAGCTATTTATAGTCGAATTTTATTTAGGTGGGAAAAATATATATTGTACTCGTAAGTCACAACTTTTACTTTTCCCCATGAGAAAATTTAAAAAGTATGAACCTTACTTTGAGACGCTGAGAATTATTGAAAAGTATCTTTTGTTCACACCATTTATACGTGAGGGTGGAGTTATATTTAATTCTTTTTTTTCTTGCTTATAATTACATATAAATATATATGAATTGTTATGGTAAAAAAAAATCAGGTACACGATTTTGTTCAGTTATCTCAACTTTACTATGCTGGAAGCCATGGAATGGACATTAAGGGTCCAACCGAAGGAAATGCCGAGGTGATGAGGATTACATTTGATTTGACTAACAAACCCATCCATTGAATTAATTAATTAATTAATTAATTTTAGGATTTAATATATTGTTTAAAAATACTGATTTTTGTTTACGCCGTAATTTTTCTTTTGTTGCAATAATTATTGAATGATTTGCCCGCACAAAAATTATCAGGCTGTTCTCTACCAACCCGCCAAAGAATTTTTACCTATGATCGATGAGGTACACTCCCTAATTCGTAAATTTTCTAGTACAAGTCACCAAAAATGAAACAAATTTAATTTTCCTTCTTTTTAACTTATTTTGTCTACTCATTAGTCATTTTTCTTTTTCTTCGATTTCTTTTTAATTTTTTCTATCTAATTTAACATGAAAAATTGCTTCTTTTTCCTTCCAAAATCTTGGAACCAAACATAGCGTACAAATATACTTTTTTAGATTTTAGTCCCTACGTTTCTTAAAACCATTTCCATTTTGACTTTGGGCTAAAATAAGGAAAATGTAATTTTTGTTGACTGTCCAATTTTGCCCATGATGTGACGAGTAAAAGTAAGATGTGATAGTTTGGTTACTATTAAAAAAGTATGATGTGATAGGTAGGGTAAGAAAAAGTAGGGGTAAATGTTAGAGTGTCATCCCACATCGAAAGTTCAAGAACAAAATAATCGGTATATAAGCTCTTCATTTGAACCAACTAATCGATTGGATTCAATCTTTTAATGTGGTTCAGCCCAAGTATCTTATTGCTCAATCCAATTATTCTTACCCCATCCTAAATTCTATCATGGTATCAGAGCAAGTTTTGGCCCACCTCGTTTGTCAAGGTGTCCGTCTAGACGTTCATTCCTAGCGGCCCATTTGTCTTAGCTAGCCCAGTTGTCCGTATGGAGTATGTACCCAACGACCTGTGGCCCGTTTAACACGATTGCTCGTCTGGAAGTCCATACTCAGCGGCTCGTGGTCCTTTAGGTGTTGGCGCTCAAAAAAAATTCAAGGGAATGAGAGTTTATTTTCAAGTGGTCAACCGGCCGGTTAGATTCAAAATGACCCGGTTGTCCACTTGAGAGGGAGTGTTAGAGTGTCATCCCACATCGGAAGTTCAAGAACAAAATAATCGGTATATAAGCTCTTCAGTTGAACTAACTAATCGATTGGATTCAATCTTTTAATGTGGTTCAACCCAAGTATTTTATTGCTCAATCCAATTATCCTTACCTCATTCTAAATTCTATCAGTAAAAGTAGTTTTTTCATAGAAAATGAAAGTGTTGTCAGGGAATTGAAAAAAACGATAGGGGAAAGGTTTTATGGAACAGAGGGAGTAATTTAAGAAAAATAATAATACTCCTCGTTTTAGGTAAAAATGTATAATTAAATTTTTTTTTTCAGAATAGGTGAAATATGTAATTAAGAAAAGTGAAATTTGGACTGAATAGGACTAAAACATAAGTCATTTCCCAATGTAGAACTTAAATTTTTTTATTCCCTAAATAAAACTTAATAATGACTAGTGAGAAGAATAATGTCCAAGTGATGATGGACATTTAGTTGAATAATGACTAATAGATAATGACCAACGGTCCAACATTGAAAAATAAAAACATATAGTCTTATATTGAGAAAGTCATTATGTGTTAGTTCTACTTAGGTAAATTACTTTTAAGTAAATCAGGTTTTGTGTGAAATGAAACATGTCAAATAATACACGCCTGGTTTTAGGACAGATTGTGTATGTAAGCTAAAAAGAGTGTACTCGATCTTTCCCTTTCCTATTAAAGCTGGCGCAAAGGTATATGTAAAAATTCACATTCAGGTATATAATTTATTACTGGAGAAAACCAAATCTGTCGCTGGAGCTAAAGTGAACAACAACAAGTTTTGCTTGTCTGTGCATTATCGTTGTGTCGAGGAAAAGGTACGTACATTAATTCATGTTTTGCCCTTCCCTCCAAAAAAGTAAATTAAAAGATTAAGTATTTTGGATAACGGAGGAAACATCTTTTTGAATTTATTCGAAGTAATATATATTACCATCTATATGCAGAGATGGAATGAACTTTGTGAACTAGTGAAAGGTGTGGCCAATGAGTGCCCAAAGCTTGGATTATCTACTGGGAGGAAGGTACAATGATAATTTTGTTTAACATTTCACACAACTTTTATGAACACTAATAAGATTTCACATAATTTAGTATTTGTTTATGAGAAATGCTAGAGTCACAAACATTTCGGTCACAAAATACACAAACTTACCATTTCTGTATTTTAATGTTTACTTTTTAATTATTCAATATCATTTTATTCATTTAGTGAGGTGCACAAATGACAAGTTGTGTATTTTGTGACTGAAAAATTTGTGACAAGTTGTGTATTTTGTGACGTACAATTACTGCCCTATTGGAATTTGGACCTATGACCTCCCATTTGGAGACTCACTAGTCACTATGATGTTGTTGGACCGCAAGGTCACATTTCACACAATTAATTAAATATATCTTGGTTTATTAGTTTAAAATTCATTTTATTATAAATATAACACCAGCTACATCACACTAATTAATGCAAATATCTTTTTATTGAGTTACAATAATCGACTTAAATTAGTTTTTATTCAATTAGTTTCAAAATTTGAGAAATTTTGTAAATTTAAATTTATATTCTAAAAGCTAATTCATGTGTTACAAATAGAAAAAAAGGAGTGTTAATAGGCAAAGAAAAGAAACAAGAGTTTTACCACATGAATACTTAATAAAAAGATACTTTAGGTCATAACTCGAGTAATTGGGTCATTAACTTTAAAAGCTACCATTAAGGAAAACTAAATCTTAATTAATTACGGAGTAAATGGATATCTTATATCTAATGGGGTAATTATATTGCCAAAAAAAACACACAAACAGGTTTTGGAGATTCGTCCGATGATTGAATGGGACAAGGGCAAAGCATTGGAATTTTTGTTGGAAGCATTAGGTTTGGCAAATTCTGAGGATGTTTTGCCGATTTATATTGGTGATGATCGAACAGACGAGGATGCTTTTAAGGTACGCACCCAATCCCAATCCAATCCTACGTACCATAACTTATAAAACTATATAAATTAAAAATAAGCTCGTAAGTTTTTTGCGGTTTAAAATACGAGTAATAAAAAGTGAAAGGAATGGGGAATTGTTGATGACGTACGTGTGTTATTGTGTACTAGGTTTTGCGGGAGAGGGGAGGAGGTGGCATAGGAATCTTAGTTTCCAAAGCTCCAAAAGAAACCAATGCATCGTATTCATTGAAGGACCCATTGGAGGTAATAAGCACAAATTTGTAGGGCACACCTTGTCCCATATTCCCACATTCTACCTCCACAATCTACTCACTACATACCACGCTTGTTGTTTCATTTACTTTTCAATAACTCTTTTAAAACTCTCTATAATCCTACTTTGATCCCAATTAAATTCTTAATCCCACAAGTCCCACTAATAAGGTCATCTCCAATGGGATGCCCAAAGGAGATGCTCAAAGGAGAGAGAAGAAGATGTTTAAAGGTGCCACTATTGGAAATGGGTGCTTAGAGGAGGTGTTCAAAGAAGAAAGAGAGTGAGAGATGCTCAAGAGAGCACCTGATGCTAGCATTCAAAATCATGTGTGCATTCTTTTATTTTTTGTAAAATAAGCTTTTTTTAATAGTACACTCTCTTTTTAATGATTTTTTTCTTTTCATTTTTGTGTCTCTTTTTTTCCCCGGAAAAAATCTTTACCATTTTTTTATACAAACCCATTTTCCTAAGTTTTTTTTCTTTTCTTTTTCTTAACTTGTAGTGATACCATAAAAAATTGTTAGCCTTGGTTTGCCATAAATCTGTTTGAAATAGTCTTTCATTTGATTGAGTATGATGTGCACAAAATAAATAAATAAATAAATACTCCATAAAAAAATATGACACCCTATTTTATTTTTAGTAATACCACCGTGCCTTTAATTTTTTAATCAAAATTTTTTAACAATAAAAAAAGTCATTGATAATATTTTTAATTATTTACACTATTTTTTTCTTAAAAATCTTTTAATTAATAATTAATTACTCCATATTTAACACTTGTATATATAATACAAAAATCCATAATTAATAATATAAAAATGGCATTTATATGTGAATAGGATCCACCCAAGGCATCTCAATGAGATGTCACCATTAAAAGGTTT